TTTCATTTATAGACCATAGGCAGAGTAGATGTAGCATAATTCTTAAGGCCTAAGGATTTTCAGAATGTTAGGTGAGCATTGGCTTTAAATCACTAGCTGCATTATCCCCTAACAAGAGAGTCAGCCTGTCCTTTGAAGCTTTGAAGCCAGGCATTGACTTCTCTGTAGCTATGAAAGTCCTAGATGGCATCTTTTTCCTATATAAGACTGTTTCGTGTAGCCACCTTCATCAATAATCTTAGCTAGATCTTCTAACTTGCTGCAGCTTCTACATCAGCACTAGCTACTTCACCTGTACTTTTATATTACAGAGACAGTTTCTTTCAACTCGTGAACCAACCTCTGCTAGCTTCAAACTTTTCTTCTGTGGCATTCCTTACCTCCCTCAGCCTTCATAGAATTGAATTCCAGTTAGGGCCTTGCTCTCTGGATTAGGCTTTGACTTAAGGGAATGTTGCAGCCCGTTTGATCATTTATCCAGACCACTCGAACTTTCTCTGTATCAGCAATAAGGCTGTTTTGCTTTCTTATTTGTGTGTTCACTGGAGTAGCACTTTTAATTTTCTTTAAGAACTTTTCCTTTGCATTCACAACTTGGCTGTTTGGTGTAAGAGGCTCAGCTTTTGGCCTCTTGGGACATGTCTTCCTTACTGAGCATTAACATTTCTAGCTTTCGATTTAAAGTGAGAGACCTGTGACTCTTCCTTTCACTTGAATACTTAGAGGCCATTATAGAGTTCTTAATTGACCTAATTTCACTATTAAATAGGGTGGCCCAAGAAGAGGGAGAGAGTTGAGGCAGTGGCCAGTCAGTAGAGCAGTCAAAACATTTACATTTATTGATTAAATTTGCCATCATATATAGATATGGTTCCTGGTGCCCCAAAACAATTAACAATAGTAACATTAAAGATCACCAATCACAGATATAATAATAATGAAAAAGTTTGGAATATTGCAAGAATTACCAAAATGTGACACAGAGACATGAAGTGACAGACATGACATGAGCACATGCTGTGGGAAAATGGCACTGATAGACTTGCTTAACACACGGTTGCCACAGACCTTAAATTTGTTTAAAAAAAAAAAATCTGCAGAGTGCAGTAAAGCAAGGTGCAAGAAAATAAGGTATGCCTGGCCAGGCACGGTGGCTCACGCCTGTAATCCTAGCACTTTGGGAGGCCGAGGTGGGCAGATCACGAGGTCAGGAGTTCGAGACCACCCTGACCAACATGGTGAAACCTTGTCTCAAAAATAAAAAAATTAGTTGGGCATGGTGGCAAGTGCCTGTAATCCCAGCTACTGGGGAGGCTGAGGCAGGAGAATCGTTTGAACCCTGGAGACAGAGGTTGCAGTGAGCCAAGTAGTCTGGGCGACAGAACAAGACTTCATCTCAAAAAATAAAAAATAAGGTGTGCCTATAATGTATAAAGTAAAAGCAGCTGCCTTTATTTTGAAGTAGGAATAATCAGCTGAAGGACTTCGTACCTGCGGTTCTTCTCAGTTCCAAATGACCTTTTCTCACAGTCATAACAGTCCACTGAGACAGACACAGATCCTTGAGGCCAAGGGTCTTCTAAGAGAGCTATAACTGAGGCAGTATCACTTCTGACCTCACTCTCACCTAAGGAAGGAACATCCTGCCAACTTGGCAAAAAGCTTTATTCCCAGATGCTTTGCAAATTGAGGTCTTAGTGTTTTCTGATAATCAGTAGTGCTCTACAAAGCTTCTTTATAGGACTTAACATACTTGTAGTAATTTAAATAACTATTAGTCTATTATTTTCTCTTAAGCTGTCAACTTCACTAGAACAGAAAGTCTATTTTGTTCATCGCTGTCTTCCTGGTCTTAGCATATAGGTATTCAAATATTTGTTGGTATACTAACTCTGTTATTTTATATATCCTAGGATGTGGATCCTATAAAATTTAGAGAGTCATGTGCCAGCTTGGGCATCCTCATAATGTGGTGGGCAGATCTCAAGAGAGCAAGGCAGAAGTGCATGGCATTTTAATGACTTAGTTTTGGAAATCATGTATAGCGTTTGTTACTTCTGTCATATGTTATTGGTCAAAGTAGTCACAAAGTACTTTCCAAGTTCAAGGTGAGAGAATAAGGATTTCGTCACTTGATGGTAACAGTGTCATAGGTAAGAAAAACATGTAAAATGGGAGATCTTGTATTGACTATCTTTGGAAAAGGATGTTACAGTTTATAATTTTCACCAAATTTGGAAAACATTTTGGCCCTTATTTCTTCAAATGCATTTTCTGTCCCCCTCCACTTTGTTTTTTTGAGACTGTAATTATATGTACGCTTTATATCTCACCGATGAAGACTTTGCTTCTTCCTTTTCAGTTATTTTTTCTCTCTGCTCATTTTGTATAGGTTGTGTTGCTATTGTCTTCAGGTTCACTGTTATTTTCTTCTGTGATCTCCAATCTGTTGTTAAGCTCGTCTGTTGAATTTTTTTTTACATCTTTTATTTTCTCACCTTATTATGTTCATATTTTCCTTCAAATTCTTGAGCATATTTATTGTAACTATTTTAAGTTAACTATTAACTTGTCTGCTAATTCTCTTACATATCACATTTCTGGGTCTGTTTCTATTAACAAATTCACCCCCACCACAATTACAGATATTTTTCTGCTTCACATATCTAGTAATTTTTTATTGTATGCTAGACATTACAAGTGCTACATTAAGTATCTAGATATTGTTATCTTTAAAGAATATTGGCCAGGCACAGTGGCTCACACCTGTAATCTTTGGGAGGCCAAGGCAGGCAGATCCCCTGAGGTCAGGAGCTCAAGACCAGCCCTGGCCAACATGGTAAAATCCCATCTCTACTAAAAATATAAAAATTCGCCTGGCATGGTGGCAGGTGCCTGTAATCCCAGCTTCTTGGCAGGCCAAGGCAGGAGAATCCCTTGAATCTGGGAGGCAGAGATTGCAGTGAGCCATGATTGTGCCATTGCACTCCAGCCTGGGCAACAAGAGCAAGACTTCGTCTCAAAAAAAAAAAAAGAATATTGAAATTTGTTTTGGCAGGTAGTTACTAGTCAGCTTGATACTTTCAAAGCTTGTTTTTACGCTTTGTTAAGGCAAGTGTTTGGAATAGTTTTTGCTCTAGGACTAACTTAGCTCTACTACTAAAGGATGATTTTCCTTAGAGCTCTAATCAATATCCCTGGTATTCAAGGTCATCCTATCTGGATAGTGGGAACACAAATATCCCCCAGCCTGTGTGAGCTCTGGGAATTGCTCCGCTTGCAATTCTGTTCGCAGTTTCATTGCCTGGCTTTGTGGGGTTTCACCTAACACGTGTAGGTTAGTATTCAGTAGTGGAATAAAGGCATCCCCATGCAGAAGTCTCCCTTTCGGAGGTCTTTCTCTGCGCTGCAAAGCTCAGCCACCTCAGTTTTCACAAATTCCAATCTCAGTCTACTCAGTTCATCAAGAAAGATACATTATGGTCTGCAAAGTGCTTCTGGGCAGAAAGCTGGAATGATCATAGGGCTCACCTTATTTGTTTCCCTTTTCTCAGGGATCACAATTCTTTACTGCCTAATGTCTGCTGTTTATATCAATTTTTTCATATATCTTTGATCCAGTTTTCTGGTTGTATGTGGTGGAAGAGAAGATTCTGTACCAGTAATACAACATGTTGAAGTACGAATTTTACCTTCAGGATTTCTTTCTTCTTTTTTTTTTTTTTTTTTTTTGAGACGGAGTTTCGCTCTTGTTACCCAGGCTGGAGCGCAATGGCGCGATCTCGGCTCACCGCAACCTCCGCCTCCCGGGTTCAGGCAATTCTCCTGCCTCAGCCTCCTGAGTCGCTGGGATTATAGGCACACGCCACCATGCCCAGCTGATTTTTTGTATTTTTAGTAGAGACGGGGTTTCACCATGTTGACCAGGATGGTCTCGATCTCTTGACCTCGTGATCCACTCGCCTCGGCCTCCCACAGTGCTGGGATTACAGGCTTGAGCCACCGCGCCCGGCCCTTCTTTCTTCTTTTAACCACTTAAAGTACAACTTAAGTTTCCAAATGCAAAAGTCAACTCTGAGTTATAATAAATAACTTGGCTTCAAGTTTCAGGCCTACCTCTAACTTGCTGCATGAATATTGTCAAATCTTATTTGTTCTTTGGCAGACACAGCAAAATTGAATTGAATATAATCCTATTCTCCCTGCTTCTCAGGTATTCTGTAATAAGCAAATGGAAATAAAAACAAACACTAAATAAGGATGAGGTTATATTTACAGTTAGTTGACAACTCACTTCTGAAACCTCTCTTGCCTTATCTTCCAGCTCCACTCTCTAAAGAATAAAAGTAGCTGAGTTAAAAATGTAGTGAGACTGCTGCTGTTTCACTGCTCCTCCTCTTACTATTAGCCAACTGTTACTGAATGCTTTTTATGGGCCAGGAACTGTGTAAGTCTTTATGTGAATAAATTTACTAAACTTTCATAACTGCCATATGGATAGGTACTCTTATTGTCCCCGTTTCACACTTGAGAATGAGACAGAGATTAAGCAACTTGGAGACGGTCACACAGCAAAGTGGCAGTGGCAGAACTGGGACTGATTCTTGTGCCATGCTCTTAACCACCACTGTGTGACTACTTTAAAACTACTGAAAATGCATCAACTGCTGCTGATGTAGAATCATTAACTATCCTTAAATATAAAAGAGCATTATCTCTGCCACCCCTTTAACAAATCTTGTTTGTTTAGACAGCTTGACTGATTTCCATGGAGAAGCAGAAAGATTGGGCTGTCATTGGAATATATGATTCCTGAGAAAAACACCGTCAGGATGGCAGGAAATGGAAGATGATGTCCAGCACCAACTACCTGGCAAATAGGCTATATAAGTGGAGTATAAAGGGTCTAGTGTGGTTCTTAGAGGGTCACTGGTGGGTACTGAATCTCTCCTGTCTTTTAATATTAATAGGCTCATTATTCTTTTTCTCTTTTTTCTCAGACACATTTAATCAAACCAGGCACCAAAATGTTAACACTCCTTCCTGGAGACAGACAGACAAAGGTTTCTTTTAATCAAAGAAGAGCTCCATCTACAGGCATTCACCAGAGAAGCATTGCTTCCTTCTTCACCTTGCAGCCAGGTATGGTGACCCATATGGGAATATTTAATTATCCAGAGCAAAAAATGGAGTGTGTTCATTGGTCCATGTTAGAACATATATGAGAAATGGTGAAACCAGTGCATTGTGTTAAACTTAGCTGACCTATTAGAAGAGGTTATAAAACATAAGAAGTCATTGCCTTTTGAAAAGCAGTATTATATGTGCTTTTACAAATTTACTTTTCTGGTTCTGTTTTGCTCAGCTTAATATTAAATATTTGTATTTGCTGACAGAGCAGTAAGGAAAGGTGTACTTGGGTGTTGGAGGTGCACTGGGGAGTTGCCCTGCCATTAGTTAGGTGGTATGTTTCTTGGGTTGGCCACAGTGGGTCCTCAATGTAAGGGTAATTGATAATTGATATTTTTGTGTGAAGCTTCTCAGATTAATGAAGGTTCAAAGATGTCTTTTTTTAGAAAAGCTCACATAAAGTTGGTTTGTATCTTATCCTTTGGCAGTTCTTTGCTTGCAGATCCCTGTTCAGGGGAGCAGCTGACTCAGAGTACGCTGGGCCTTAAACAGCAGGGCTCCTGCCCCTTGGAGGGTGTGAGGAAGAGTGCTCTAATGCCAGGTGTGATTCTCAGGATTGCTTTGCATAAACCTTCAAAATGCCCTCCTCCTCCAAACAAAAATGTAAACACTCTTTTGCTTTATGTAACAAGGGCAGATTAAAAAACAAAACAACAACAAAAAAACCTTTTTCTATTTACAAATTCTGGTGTATTTTAGTCTATATTGAATTCTTAGGAAAAGTTGAGAATTCTCACAAAACCTAAGTTTCTGTAGTATAATTCTTATGTGAGAAGGAAAGAGGAAGTCAGTTATTCTGTTTTGTTTTTATAATGAGATCTTGATACAATTTGAGCCAAGCTGGGAATTCCATGCCCTTCATCTTTATCTTAAGGCAGAACAGAATCCACTCGATGTCTGATAAAATTAACAGGCCAAACCCTAGTAGTTGTTTTACTATTCTACCTACTGATTGATTTAGCTCCTAACTGTGTCTTCACTCCCTTTATAATGAAATGCTTGGGAAGTGGAGAACCCGTTTTTCACGCTGTCACCAGAAGGTTTCTCAGAGTTGGATGGTTAATGTAATCTTTAAGACCTTACAAAACTAGTGTGTGTTTACCATGTTTCTTCAAAGATAATATCTAGGAATGTATATTTGGCCAGGATCACCATTTAGTAAAAACCACATTAAATAAAAAACAAGGGCCGGGCGCGGTGGCTCAAGCCTGTAATCCCAGCACTTTGGGAGGCCGAGGCGGGTGGATCACGAGGTCAAGAGATCGAGACCATCCTGGTCAACATGGTGAAACCCCGTCTCTACTAAAAATACAAAAAATTAGTTGGGCATGGTGGCACGTGCCTGTAATCCCAGCTACTCAGGAGGCTGAGGCAGGAGAATTGCCTGAACCCGGGAGGCGGAGGTTGCGGTGAGCCGAGATCGCGCCATTGCACTCCAGCCTGGGTAACAAGAGCGAAACTCCGTCTCAAAAAAAAAAAAATAAAAATAAAAATAAATAAAAAACAAAAGCAAAACTGATATGCCCTATATTAAACCCACAAATGAAAACTCAGCTGGTAAAGTAGGCTGTGGTCTGATTATATGCGATGTTTGACTTTATTAGGTAGGTGATGGGAAGCATTTATGTATTTGAGTAGGGAATTTAAGATCTGATGTTTTAGAGATCATTAAAGTGGCAAGGTTGAAAGCAGGAAGATTAGTTACAAAGTTATGTGAACAGCCTGACTCCTGCAGTAAGTAGTAATAGTAGCTAGTATTGATTTCAGAAAAAGCCAAATAAATCCTGCTTAGGGCAGTTTTTCTGCAGAATAATATTTATTCATTCCTGTTTTAGGAAAGACAAATGGTAGTGACCAGAAGAATGTTTCACCTCATACAGAAAGTCAAATCAAAGAGTCCAAGAAAAATGCTACCCAGCTAGACTATCTGATCCCAGGCTTAGCACATGATTGCATGACATCCCCTTTAGCCACTTCAACCACTGCAGACATCCAGGAAGCTGGACTTTCTCCTCAGTCCCTCCAGACTTCTGGCCACCACAGAATGAAAACCCCATTTTTGACTGAGCTATCTTTGCTCCAGCCTGATACTCTAGACTGTACTGGAGAGAGTAATACCCCACTGGCTTTATCCTTCACTGAGGACTTGGAAAGTTCTTGTTCGATGGACCAAAAGGAAGAAAAAAGGGATTCTGCCATGAAAAGGGAATGGCTTCATGGATCTAAGAAAAACTATAAGGGTATGGAGAAACATACCAAACTATCTGAGGACAAATGCTGTCAGCCCTTAGGCAAGACTAAACTGGAAAGAAAGGTGTCTGCCAAAGAAAACAGGCAGGCCCCTGTCCTCCTTCAAACCTACAGGGAATCCTGGAATGCAGAAAACATAAAATTAGTGAAACAAAGCCCTTGTCCTATTTCTGCGTTTTCCTGGGATAATGAAAAGAATGACAAGGACTCCTGGAGTCAACTTTTCACTGAAGATTCTGAAGGTCAGCAGGTCATTGCCCACAACACTAGAGCTCCTTTTCAAGATGTAACCAATAACTGGAATCAGGACTTAGGGCTGTTTCCTAACAGTCCTTGGGCTCAGTGCCAGGAGGATGGGCCAACTCAAAATCTGAAGCCTGATTTGCTCTTTACCCAGGACTCTGAAGGTAATCCAGTTATCAGGCACCAATTCTAAATGTTTTTATGAAGTTTTGTTTCTAAAAATACCCTGAAATGACAGAGATGTAGGAAACTATAGTTGTGGGTGGAGAGAGGAGTGAGCTTGTTTAGTTGAGAAGGTGGCATGGGATAAAGCCGTCATTACCAAGCATCTTCTGTGTTAAGTAAAGCAGGCAGTACCATTGTTAAGACAGTGGGATTGGCATCATCGTTTTCCCTCAGGAAGACAGTGGCTGGTAGATTCCCAGAACGAGTCTATGATGAACACTGAGGCAGCACATTGTGTATTTATTCCTCCATGAAAGCACCTTTTACTCAGCCTGCACAGAGCCATCTCTTTGCCCTTCCAGATCCCTGACTGGGACCTTGCTTATGGAATTGTGAGCTTCCAATCTCTGGCTGTAATCTTACTCACTTCAACCTAAGCTTGGGATGATTACTCTTGACCCCCCGCCTTTTTTTTTTTTTTTGAGTGATTAGGCAAATCTCCCCACAACCCAGGTGTGGGGAGAAGAGAGGCAGAATGGTGCTAGTTTCTTGTTATTTTGTTTTTGTGGTAACTGTACAGCACTTTAAAGTTACATACTTTATGTTTAAATATCCCTCTTAAGCCTGAGCTGGCCAGGCGCGGTGGCTCACACCTATAATCCCAGCACTTTGGGAGGCTGAGGTGGGCGAACATGGTTAAAACCCTGTCTCTATTAAAAATACAAAAATTAGCTAGGCGTGGTGGCGCATGCCTGTAATCCCAGCTACTAGGGAGGGTGAAGCAGGAGAATCGCTTGAACTCAGGAGGTGGAGGTTGCCGTGACCCAAGATTATACCACTGCACTCCAGCCTGGTGACAGAGACTATCTCAAACAAACAAACAAAAAAGCCTGAGTTATATAACAATCTGTATGTGACTATGTTACCCTTTTCCCACAAGATAGGATGGAATCCCCTTTGTAAAACTATGAATCCAAATAAATGTTTACAAAATGGCTCTTAAGGTAATTAAACAATTACCAATTTTATTTTTGAAAATGCAGTGTTGTACAGGTATTGATCAACTTATGATCTATGCAACTTACGACCATTCAACTTTACAACCACAATCGCTAGCCATGACTGCTCCGTGTCTGGCAGCGCAAACGTTGCCCAGCTGGGTGTACGACAGTGCGGACCAGCTTCCGGCAGCACTACCATCTCCGCGTGCATACAGCCTACTCAACTTACGACCAAATCATGTTACGACCGGTCTGTCGGAACCAACCGTGGTCGTAAGTCGAGCACTAGCTGTAATAGTATATGCTGTCATTGCCCTGAGTCTGATCTGAACCAGTATCTAGTTTGACCTGTCTTCTACCCAAGGCATTGTCCTTTGTTGTTAATGTGGTACCTAAGAGGCTTAAACAATCTCTAGGGGACAAATTTGCAGGTTATAAGATGGAACTGCTTTTTTTTTTTTTTTTAACTTAAATTTTTTATTGTTTTGAGACATGGTCTCGCTCTGTTGCCCAGCCTGGAGTGTAGTGGCATGAACATGGTTCACTGCATCTTGAACCTCTTGGGCACAAGTGATTCTCCCACCTCAGCCTCCCAAGTAGCTGGGACTATAGGCATATGCCACCATGCCAGCTAAATTTTAAATTACTTTGTAGAGATGAGGTCTTGTTGCCCAGGCTGATCTTGAACTCCCAAAGTGCTGTGATTAGAGGTGTGAGCTACTGTACCTGGCCTAATTTAAATGTTAAATTCTACTTTTATCTTGTATGTCATCTCTCAGGTCATTTTCCTGAAAGAACTGCTTTTAAGATTGTATGGAGCTGAGTGCAGTGGCTCATGTCTATAATCTCAATGCTCTGGGAGACTGAGGTGGTAGGTCTGCTTGAGGCCAGGAGTTCGATCATCCTGGGCCACACAGCAAGACCCCATCTCTACAAAAAAATTTAAAATGTCCTGGGTGTGGTGATACACACCTGTAGTACCAGAAGGTGGGGGGCTCGCTTGAGCCCAGGAGTTTAGAGGCTGCAGTTAGCTAATGATCTCACCACTACACTCTGGCCTAGGCATGACAGAGCTAGACCCAGTTTCTAAAAAATGAGTGTAGGGCAAAATCTCTACAGAAAGGGGGAAGAAACCCCCTAGAAGGGCAGGAAAGAGAAGCCAGTAGCCTGTTTAAGTTCATACACCTTAAAATTAACAATAATCCTATATCCCTGAAGGATACTGGGTAACCACAACAACTCAAAAGATGGACACAGTAAATGCATTCTCTCCCCAAATCCTTCCTTTAATGTCAGGTAGTACTTCAACCCAAACACACAAAGTATACATACCATAGAGAAAGGGACCTGAGGGCATCTGAGTCATGCATGGCGTGGTAGGTATAAACCTTGGCCCAACCCAAAGGAGCAGTCAAGGGCCTTGAAGAAAGATGATGGTATGCTCTTTCCCCCTCCTCCTTTCTCTTTCCTGCTGGGCTTAAAGTCCGTGGAAAAGAACGCTTTTAATCAGTGGAACTGATAAGGCCTCGGGCCCTGGAGGGTAGACTTGGTTGTTCGGTAATATAAAATATCTTTAAGGAAAAAAAACAGCCCAGGCTTCCCAGCAATAGACCATGTATCAGCTGGTTCAACAGCCTGCTCTCTACACCTAGACAAGGAAGTGAGGAGGGTGATTGCTGGGCATTGGTGTAGGTTTATGATGGAGCAGCATAAGATGATTTTCCGTGCCCTGTGAACATGTATACAAACATAGCCCCTTACCCTCAGCCCTGCTCTGCTGCAAGGAAGCTGCTGAGAGTGAGTGACAGCTGGGCACAGTGTCTTGTAAGACCAATTATAGGGTCTAATGCAGTGAAGTAAATCAGTCATTTAGGACCTATTTTCACACAGGGGCAAGGAAAAACCAGAAACAACTTCTCTCTTACCCTTTAAACTGAGACACTTCATTCTGCACAATTACCTGTAACAAATGTCTCAGGTCAAATCACAGGCCTTAGCTTCTGCTAGGGTTTGAAGTCTGGGAAGCATACAATCCAGTCTTCTCTTTCAGTCCAAGCTCTAGCTTGTCAGCAAGATTGTTGAAGATTTCTCCTTGAGAGGCAGAAACATCTGCAGTGAGGAAGGCAGCTATTGAAGGTATTCCAGGAGCATGAGACTGAGTTTGCAGAGCTGAGGGTTATCAGTTTCCTTTTCTACTGATATCTTCTTCCTTTAGAGCAAACTTCCTCCGTAGGACCTCAGAGATAAGCACAGCAGGGTCTTCCTCCTTCAATAAACTCCGGTTCCTAAAGGCACAATAACAGCTTGAGTACTTTTTCCTGGGTAGTGCTGTATATCTTTGAATATATTATCTCATTGAATCCTCACAACAATCTTACGCTGTAGGTGCTACTACAATTCCCTTTCACAGGTACAGAAATTGAAGCAGAGGAAGGTTATACAAGTTGCCCAGGGTCACTAGTCACTCAGCAAGTAAGTAGCGAATCCAGAGTTCAAAACCAAACTAGCTGGTTCCAGATCTCATCTCTTAACTAGAATGCTTTACTAGTTCCTGAAATAGCTATAAGGTGTAGGCAAAGGACCATCAATCTGTAAGAGCTGGCCTCTGGTGGCTAATCTTATGCTTCTGCCTTCTGGCCCTATGTTTTCATAGTAGCATTTCCCCAGAGGGTCAGCAGGGGAAGTGACTGATGATTCTTGGCTATTCTGACCCTTAATAGTTCTGGGGAAAAGGTGTGTTTGGGATTTCCTACTACCCTGTCTCCCTTTCAGGGGAGATGATTTTTTTCTAAGAGCCAGAATTACAGCAAAACATTCACTTAAGAAACTCATGGGAGGCCGGGCGTGGTGGCTCAAGCCTGTAATCCCAGCACTTTGGGAGGCCGAGGCGGGTGGATCACGAGGGCAAGAGATCAAGACCATCCTGGTCAACATGGTGAAACCCCGTCTCTACTAAAAATACAAAAAAATTAGCTGGGCATGGTGGTGCGTGCCTGTAATCCCAGCTACTCAGGAGGCTGAGGCAGGAGAATTGCCTGAACCCAGGAGGCGGAGGTTGCGGTGAGCCGAGATCGCGCCATTGCACTCCAGCCTGGGTAACATGAGTGAAACTCCGTCTCAAAAAAAAAACAAACAAAAAACTCATGGGAACAAAACCAACTCCAGACTGAAGTCCAAATTATCTGATACATTATATAACAGGGTCCTAGATACCTGGAAAATAGTTGCTTGAAATCCTAGTGAACTTATATACATGTATCATCATGAAGGTGTTTGATTGGTGATTAAGCTAAATATAAGGGCCAAGACTGACTATTCAACTTTCAAAGCAAAAACAGGACTGCGTTTGGCTGGTGACATTTCTGAACCTTGCTGATTTTGGTACTTTCCCATTCTTATTCACTGACCCAACTCCTGATGCAAGGACACAAGTGGGAGGAGGGGGCTGGCAATAAGGGTCTTGAATCTAATTTGGTCAAAAAGGCAAGTAAGAGAAAGTTTTGAGAGTCAACCTATAAAGCATTGTGTTCAGAAGAAAACAGCTCAGAGAAGACCAAAAGCAGCAGCAACTGAATTTGGGAATGCAGAAGACCAAAGAGCTACAGGTGAGTATGACCAACCTGACTAGGGCCAGTGAAGGAATGTTAAGGGTGACTTCCCAAATGGGTCAACTGCCAGGAAGCAATGAGAAAGTCACTTAGCCTGATCTGGTTTTCAGAAGAAAATGGGTCCTAGGAGACAAAAAGGGAACCAAGGCAAGTAACTCTCCCTTTAACAGGAACTTTATCAACCCAGGAGACCTCACTTCCAGTCCCTAAAACAGTTTTTCATCTGCATTAACAAATACAGCTGGCCGGGCGCACTGGCTCACACCTGTAATCCCAGCACTTTGAGAGGCTGAAGTGGACGGATCACAAAGTCAAGAGATCGAAACCATCCTGGCTAACATGGTGAAACCCCATCTCTTGTAAAAATACAAAAATTAGGCGTGGTCGCGTACACCTGTAGTCCCAGCTACTCGGGAGGCTGAGGTAGGACAATTGCTTGAACACTGGAGGTAGAGGTTGCAGTGAGCCAAGATCATGCCACTGCACTCCAGCTGGGCAACAGAGTCAGACTCCATCTCAAAAAAAAAAAAAAAAAATCAAATATATCTGCACAACTAGGTGCAAGGTCTAGATCAAATGCCTAGAAACCTATATTCAAACCAAGTTCCTCTGGTGTCTGGTGGTCCTGTGCAGCTGTTGAAACCACAATTGAAACTACAATCCACAACTGGAGAAACACTGTGCAATGGGGTGACTCCCTGAGGCTTCTCTGCCAGATGAAGTTTTTCCCTAAAGTCCCTCATACGCCATCGGAAAAACCTAGAGCTCCACTCCTTGGGGTTCTACTTTAGTAAGTTAGTTAAAGATGTATTTTTAACGAATCCAAGCAATTCTGATACACAGACAGGTTTAGGAACTCCTGGTGAATCTCAAAAGCCTTGTTCTGAAATCACTGAATTTGCAGGATTTGCTTGCATAATGGACCACTGTATTTTAAAGCAGAAATCTCTAACTTTATGAAATTCTCCTCCCACCAAAAATGTCTACCAATTTGAGATAAGAAAACAAAACATAATGTCATGCAACCCATCACTTTGAAGGGTGGGGCATAGAGACATTATCACTAGCAGTATGAGAAATGAAGTGGTAAAGCCACCTGAGAACAGAAGTTGGATTAGATGAGCCTTCTTGTAAGATCCTTACTAGCCTAACATTTGGTTTGGGTGACCTAACCCAATAAATGTAAAGTGTTGCTCTTTCCTCAAACTGGGGCCCAAGACACTGGCAAGCAGGTAGTCAGGAAACTTTATGAATGACATAACATACGGTACTACTAAGAACTTACTATGTAAGTATGTTGCATTAGATCATTGGCCATGAGTAACTCAGAGTAAACAGATCACCAGAGCTCCTCATCAGATACTTACAGATCTTGGCTCTGTTTCATCCGGTGAAAGTCCTTCAGGATACCCATCATGTCTGCAAAGCTGCTGGCCTTGGACAAAGAGATGCAGTCATCCTCTTCAGACGAACTGCAGGTAGCTTTGTGTTCTAGTTTGCAACATTCAGGGCTGGCAGAACAAAGCAGGGGGACTGATGGAAGCTCAGGAACCTCCACCTCTGTCTCCTCAGTGATGTCACTAATGACAAAGGAAGTTGTAGAGTGGAATGAGGATCCAAAACAAGGTAAGGGAGAAGAGACATTTGAACTTCCTGGAGATAAGAAATCTGGCGTTAATGAAGCCGAAGCTGAAAGAGAAAACAATAGGCATGGATGGACATTGAGGCCAGAACATAGTAGCAACATCTTCTCCCCGCAGCCCTGCCTACTGAACATTCATTTCCTGGGCTGACACCATGACATTCTGGGACAGCCAGGATGGTACTATCTCTGTAGCCAGTGGAGGGTCAGTCCACTATGCTGGCTCACTCGGGGGCTCAGAAAGATGTAGAAGCACTGGGCTTTTCCAGCGTTCCAGGAGGGCAGGAAAACCCAGCCCTATAGGCCTTGGCTTTTAAAAGCTCCCATTCCACAATAGGCTGTGGAGTGGTAGCCTTGTTACAGGCCAAAGCAGCAATGACAGCGCTAAGGCCTGAATTTGTCCTTTTCTCTAACTAGGCTAGCGCTTCTGACTATGCTCCTTTGAATCTTACTATCTATGAACTAGAAGACATGTTCTCAGCAAAACTAGAATAGTGAGAGACCTCCCAACCTTCCCAAATTTCAGTGAAGAGAATTTCCTCAGTTTCTACAAAACACTAAAAATATTTTAAAACCACTAAACATACTAAAAACTCTGTTTCTAAAAAACGTTACTTCTGCTTGTCTCTCATATGACACAGAAGTAGCCAAGAAATATAAATGGAAAGTTTCAGTGCAATTCTTCCATAAAACTTCCATGTAATGAAATTAAATGCACGAAGATTTCAAAGAATACCATGATTTCCATGTGTTCTACTAACTGGTAAGTTTCGGAGTTATGACTGACTCAATGCAGAGTGAAAAAATGAGGATGGGAAGAATATGAGGATAAGCCCTGAGCATCTGGGGACATATTGACCTGTTGGCTGTCCATGCCTCTGGTCAAGGCAGGCTTCCCATCCATTTCCAGTGGTTCTGCTTTAACTGCAGATAGAAAGCTGGAGGGGTGGGTTACAGGGCTTGTCTGCAAAATGGACCCATTTTTTTTTTTTTGGAGACAGAATCTCACTCTGTCGCCCAGGCTGGAGTGTAGCAGTGCAACCTCAGCTCATTGCAACCTCTGCTTCTCAGGTTCAAGTGGGTCTTGTGCCTCAGCCTCCCAATTAGCTGGGACTAATGTTTGTATTTTTTGTAGAGACGGGGTTTCACCATGTTGGTCAGGCTGGTTTCAGACTCCTAACCTCAGGTGATCCACCTGCCTCACCCTTTTGAAGTGTTGGGATTACAGGCATGAGGCACTGTGCCCCGCCACTGTGTTTTAAGGCCGAAATCTCCAACTTTATCAAACTCTCCTCCCACCAAAAAAAGCCCACCAATTTGAGATAAGAAAACATAACAAAACATAATGTCATGCAACTCCCCACTCTGCAGGGTGGGCCTTGGGGACACTGTCACTAGCAGTATGATAACTGAAGTGGTAAAGCCACTTGTGATCCCTGGTAGAAACAACAAGGAAAGCAAAGATAGGTGCTTAAAAAGGGTAAGTCTCAGTGGTGGTGGGGGGAATGTTTATTTCTTGTATTGAAAAGGAAGGCCAGGCGTGGTGGCTTATTCTTGTAATCCTAGCATTTTGGAAGGCCGAGGCAGGTGGATTGCCTGAGCTCAGGAGTTCGACACCAGCCTGGGCAATGACGAAACCCTATCTCTACTAAAAATACAAAAGATTAGCTGGGTGTGGTGGCGTGTGCCTGTAATCCCAGCTACTCAGGATGCTGAGGCACAAGAATTACTTGAACCCAGTAGGTGAGGGTTGCAGTGAGCCAAGATCACGCCACTGTACTCCAACCTGGATAACAGAGACTCTGTTTCAAAAAAAAAAAAAAAAAAAAAAAACCAGAAAAGTTGGCTGGATGCAGTGGCTCATGCCTATAATCCTAGCACTTTGGAAGGCCAAGGCGGGTGGATTGCTTGAGGCCAGGAGTTCAAGACCAGCCTGGCCAATATGGTGAAACCCCATCTCTACTAAAAATACAAAAAACGGCGGGGTGTGGTGGTGCAGACCTGTAATTCCAGCTACTCAGGAGGCTGAGGCATGAGAATTGCTTGAGCCTGGGAGGCAGGCTCCACACTGCACTCCAGTGTGGGTGACAGAGCAAGGCCCAAGATCCTGTCCCCAAAAAAAGGAAAGCTGGCTGGGCTCGGTGGCTCATGCCTATGATCCCAGCACTCTGAGAGGCCAAGGCGGGTGGGTCATCTGAGGTCAGGAGTATAAGACCAGCCTGGCCAACATGGTGAAACCTGTCTCTACTAAAAATACAAAAATTAGCCAGGCCTGGTAGTGTACCCCTACAGTCCCAGCTACTCAGGAGGCTGAGGTAGGAGACCCGCTTTAACCCGGGAGGTGAAGGTTGCAGTGACCCGAGATTGTTCCACTGCACTCCAGCCTGGGTGACACAGCAAGATATCAAAAAGAAAAAAAGGGCCGGGTGCTGTGGCTCACGCCTGTAATCCCAGCACTTTGGAAGGCCGAGGCGGGCAAATCACGACGTCAAGAGATCAACACCATCCTGGCCAACATGGTGAAACACCGTCTCTGCTAAAAATGCAAAAGTTAGCTGGGCATGGTGGTGTGCACCTGTAGTTCCAGCTACTCAGGGGGCTGAGGCAGGAGAATTGCTTGAACCTGGGAGGCAGAAGGTTGTTGTGAGCCAAAATCCCGCCACTGCACTCCAGCTTGGCGCCTGGCGACAAAGCAAGACTCTGTCTCCAAAAAAAAAAAAAAAAAAAAAGAAGGCAACTGTGGGCTTATGTAAGATGTGATCTTAAAGACACTTGGAAGAGGGTGTCAGTTTTTGTGGCTAAGGGAAGGACTCTGCCTGGGGTCACAAATTAAGTGAAGATTTTGTTCCTAACCAAACCATTCAGCCCAAAATGGCTGGTAGAACCATCTAAGAGGCACTATAGGCTAGCCAGTCGTCAGTACAACCCCAGAGCCTGGAACCTAAGTACCTCCGAACCAAGGACTACCATTTTCTCTACCCATATCCTGCCCAAGAGCCAGGGGAAATGAACAGCCTGTCATGTTCTGGCCCTGGCACAGGGGTTCCTACCTGTATCAGCTGCCACTATCTTTGCAATCTGGCTGCGCAAGTGGCTTAGCTCATCCTGCAGCTCAGTGGTTCGGCTTAAGGCTGGCAGAGCTGGCTTCTTCAGGGCCAGAAGCCTCTCCTCGGACCCACGCAGGTTGGGCACTGAGGCATTGCGCTGCATGATAATCAGAGGGCTGGGTTTCCAAGTGTGCCTCAGGGGGCGCGTATCACTCCTGGACCAGGAAAAACCAAGTAGGTCAGTTAGAGACAGCTGGCCAGTGTGCTCCTGAAATTCCTTCCCCCAATCCTATAAGAGTAGCACAGGAAGGTTCTGCTCCCCTCTGAGCCCACAGTTCTCATTCCTCTCTCCTTGCTGCCTGCCACCTCTCCTAAAATGTTCCCCGTTCCTCAGCAGAGCAGCTACTGCCTCAACTACCTGACCCGGGCATATGTCTCCTCTTCATCCGCAGCAATCCAGGCGATGTCGGCCAGGGTAGGGACTGGGGGCACATCTCTCAAACACAGGTCAGAGATGTTGGGCAGGGTCTATGGAGAAGCAAATTTTATCAACATTTACTGATGCCATGATAAGCCCATCAAAAACCGCACAACACACAGAAGGGGTACCTAATCCAACACTGGGTGTCAGGAATGCTTCCTAGAGGGAACACAAGAAGGTGCCTGGTCAGAAGCACTGAATAAAGGCAGATGCTGGTCAGGCATGGTGGGTCACACCTGTAATCCCAGCACTTTGGGAGGCTGAGGCAGGCAGAATGCTTGAGACCGAAAGTTTGAGATCAGCCTGGGCAACATAGCAAAACCCAACCTCTACCAAAAAAATACAAAAATTAGCTGGGTATGTTGGTGTACACCTGTAGTCCTAGCTACTTAGGAGGCTGAGGTGGGAGGATGGCTTGAACCTGGGAAGCAGAGGTCACACTGAGCTGAGATTCTACCACTGCACTCTAGCCTGGATGACAGAACCAGACTCTGTCTCAAAACAAAAAAAGAGGTGAGATGCATGAGAGGAGAGTCTGTGGGACTGCAAACGGTTCTGTGTCTTCAACGGGATAGGCTTACGTCACCTTTTAATAGAGATGGTTACTGTCTAAAACCATTGTGCCCTCTGGTGAAAGTGCAAGGTCATCAACAACCTGTTATATCAACAGAAAATTTTTCCTGACTAGCTCTTCATAATCCTGTATAGCTAATTGAGATCTACATTGTTACAGCAATGCTGTTTTAAACAAACCTAATAATTTGAATATATTTAGATTTAAATACAAAGAAACAATTATACAAAAGGAACCATGATAGGATTTCTTAAGATAGCTCCTCAACCCAAATGAGCAACAACCAGAGAGAATAAAGATGTTGAGTAAAGTGAAAAATTACAATTCAATCATGTTGACTGTAATTACAACAAAATAAAAAACATTCATCTAGAAAAAGAGAGGACTACACTAAGACATTAATAGTTATTGTATTACTGTGTAATTATAGGATATTTTCCTTTTCATAATTTAATATTTTCATATGCTTAAATTTTAAAAATGGTAAGAGTCCTTAAATAATACTTAAGGTAATACAATAATAAATGCATATCTACACACCAGTAAAATTCAACTGTTTCTGCCACAAATTATTTGGTATGGTAGACAGATCTAGGATTGATAGCACCTGCATTTAGATAGGAAACCTGGAACTCACAGGAGTTAAGTGATACTCCAAGGTCACACACAGAGGACTTCCACTGACCCAGGAACTAGTGCTAAAATAGGGGAAGCCTCCATTTGTTTTCCTGATTAATGCTGAATACTCCTTTGCTCTTGGCAATTAAATGAGTAAACACATATAAAGTACTCAGCCAGTGCCTGACACATAGCAGTGTGCTCAGTAAACGTTAGCTAGTATTACTAATACTACTCACATATATTCCTGCTCTATGAGAGCCTGTGCCCTTGACTGTCTCTGCCCAGCATCTGACCAAAGAACTAATGAGGGTATAGCCAAGTGTGGGAGCAGCCTCCATGGAGTCAGCCACACTCCCCAACTCTTTTTTTTTTTTTTTTATGATTCTGAGGCAGCTAGGAACACTTCCTGCCCAGGACCTTTAGGCAATTACGGATAGCTGGCAATCTGAATAACAGGACAGCTTTTCCTGCCCCCTACTCCCCAATGCACGTCCATTCCTGACCCTAATACCAACCCTGACATCTCTTCTAATTCCAGATCCAGTTCCTACAAAGACTTTGCTGTTTAGCATCTTTTATACAGATTTGGCTCCTTCATTTCTATTTCTACCTGGCCTCACATCCTTTTATGCACATATTTCTATCTCCTCTGTGTGGGTAGAAAGCAGAAGTATTTCTTTTGTGTCCCAGCTCCCCAAATGTACACATCTGAACCATACAGTCTGGAGCTGGTGCTTAACCATTAGTTCCTAGAGGGAGCCAGCTGTAACTAATAAATACTACTTAGCTTTCTACCACAGAAGAGAGCTCATTCCTGGACTAGGCAGGAATCTTCTGCTGCAGCGTGGGTGCTAAAGGATCTCTAGACACAGAGGTAAGACCGAAGTACCCCAGTAAAGGATGCCCAGATTGGCCAGAAAGAGCAGGCTGAGGAATTATGGCCTCAGAGAAACACTAAAAATAGTGGAGCTGGGCATGGTGGCTTGTGCCCATAATCCCAGCTACTAGGGAGGCTGAGGCAGGGGAACTGCTTGAGCCCAGGAGTTTAAGGCCTAGCCTAGGCAATACAGTGAGACCTCATCTCAAACAATAAATAAAAATACTGGCTACATAGCCATTAGGGCTGGTGAAGAAAAGCAGAGTTCACTCAAGCATCACAATACTTGGTGTCCCATGGGGACCTGCCAGGTTCCTTGTGGTCACAGGTTTGCATGCAATCAGGAAGGCACAGTGACCAGGAACTATTATAAGCACTTAGTAAATATTTCATAACAAAATGAAAAGTGACCAGAAAATAACCTACTTTGGCGGTCCCAAGGGGTTTGGGGCACAGAAGCGGCACTCTGAGCCTCTACTCTCCTGCCCTTCCAACGTACTCACCTCAAAGGATGCCCGGGGACATGGCTTCAAGGGTAGGTTGGTCCCAATTCTTCTCACTACACTTCGAGCGGCCCCATGTGGCTTGTTTTGCCAGATTGGAATAGTCTGGAGCAAAGAGAGACAGATAGCCACAATCTCAGAGACTGAGTCCGTCTACTGTCCCTGACCTCTCCTCTCTAGCAGGGAGACCGAATTCCACAATCCTAGGTACAGGGCAGTCTTTGGGGGTAAATCAACTCTTAATGAGGACAGGTTCCCCAGCTGCCAGTCTAACCCTGGCTAGCTACCCAAGGGGATACCTGCTGCTGCTCAGACAATGTTGGGAGGGCCAGTGAAGGGGAGAGGAAGTAGCTGGGTGTAGAGATAATCCAGACTTTCCTTCCCTCCCTCTGTACAGAAAGGCAGACATACACTGACTCCTGAAGTGCCCCAGAATCATAACTGGTTCTTAAGGGGAGGGAGTGAAAAGGTGGCCTTGTTCCAATTCCAGGCTTCTGGAGAAAGGAGGACTCAACTGGAGAGTATCAGAACCATATAGAGTACTTCAGCAGGCCCAGCACCCAACCTTCCCCACCATACCCCTGCCCTGGGAATGCCCCTTACCACAGTGGCTTCCATTCCTGACATTTGGACCAGCTCCTGCACTTGAAGGACAAGGCAGCCACAGGGCAGCTCCGGAAGGCGGGAGGCGTAACTCCTTCATATCAGGCCATCTGGAGGAACACCAGATTTCCCTCTTGTGAAACAACCCCCACAGTGAGAACTCAATGGTCACCACACCAGCCACACAAAACCAGGCCCTGCAGAGCCATGACTAACACCAAGACTTCTCCGATGTTTCACAGGGGAGAAAATCAGCCCAAGAGGCTGCCCTCACCCAACATTTCTCTAAGTCCAGACTCTCAAAGTTTCTGTTCAAGATTTGCCTAGTGAGCTTGGCAAACCCAGGAGCCTTCCTAGGATCTAAGGTTTCCTGAGGCAAAACTTCTTTTTTATTTTTATTTTTTTAAAGACGGGGTTTCACCATGCTGGTCAGGCTGGTCTTGAACTCCCGACCTCAGGTGATCTGCCCACCTTGGCCTCCAAAGTGCTTGGATTACAGGCGTGAGCCACCATGCCTGGCTGAGGCAAAACTTCTAAAGATGTAAATGGAACCCTTTGGTAGCTACAAACCGCATAGAGCCAAATTGTAGGTCCTATCCAAGGCCAGGATTCATTCTGGAAAATGAGATGTAAAAGCACTGCCGGGCCCTTCCTTGCAAGGGGAGAGATCAGAGAGAACAGGAGAACAAACAGCAGCTCATGCCAATCTCAGTCTCCTGAGTTACAGACAAAAAGAGCCAAAAAGGTTTATCCTTGCTCAGCCACCTTCTGGCTTCGTAGCTACAGGCAAATTATTTAACTTTTCTGAACGCTGGCTTTTCTATCTGGGAAAAAGTGCTTAATGAACTGTTATGACACAGATAGGTGAAGTGACATCTGACTGCTCTTCACAGCAGTCCTTGCGTGGTGAGCAGATGCAATCAGTGTGCTTGTTCATTCACTTGTTCATCAAACACCAATAGTACCCACTTGTGCCAGGCCCTGTGCTGGGCACCATAGGGGCTATGGAAGGAGTAAGACACAGTCATACTCTCAAGGAACTCGCTGTCCAGCACAGTGATAGGACATGAATACATACTTCTAGCAAAAGCTAAATATCACTAGGCAGGCAGCCAGATGAGGTCAGAGCTCCAGCTCTAGTGCTCTGTAATGAGTTTCCAGGGAGTAGGAAAAGAAGACAGAACAGCAAGAGCACAGGCCCAGCACAGCAAAGTAAAGGATATGTGAAGAGGGGCAGAGTATGTTAAAGCTACAAAAGTAGGGGTCAAGTCATGAGGCCCGGATGAGAAGTCACTGGGGAACCCTGGACAGGCTCTGAACGGGGGACAGACTAGATTGACAAAGCAGCTCTTTCTGGAGACCTCCCGTGGAGGGTCTTCCACCCTTGGGAGAGGAGGTATCACTCACTTTACCATACACATGGGGAAAGAAAGTTGGAGAGGGAAGGGCACTTCCTTCAGGTCATTCAGTGGTCATGCCAGTGGAAAGCACCCAAAGCCTCGTCCAGGTCCTGCCATCTCCTGCGTGGGCTCCATCTCGGCTCAGTTCAATTTTTTTAAGAGTCCCTCTGTGTGCCAGGCTCTGTACTGAATGTCAGTGCCGGCCACAAACTGCACTAACAGTACGTCTCTGTGTTCCTCACTTTCCTCTCCGACCTTATCTCCAAAGACCTAGCTGGGCCTAAATCTCACACACAGCCAGAGGAATCCTTCCCAAACACACTGTTAATCCCATGGCTAGTCCGTTTAAAACTGGCTTACTAGAGCCAACAAGATAAAATCCACAATCAGGCCCAAACCCATCTTTCTCTGCGCTTTCTAGACCACACTCACGGAGCACCAAGGCCTGCACACTTCGCAGCCAGCCCTCCTGCTCTCACCCTTGCTCTCCAGCCACACTGACGCTCAGTCCCCAATACCCCACCTCTGAGCCCTGCATCAAATACCAGCCCCCCTTCGCCGAGCTCATTCTTCATCATGCCTCAGAGCTCAGCTCAAGCATCACGTCCCTTCCCTGCGACAGGGTCAGGTCCTTTCCTGTGCGCCCCGAGCACCCTGCCTGTCCCTCGGAGTGCTCGCGAGAGGAACTGGAAAACTGTGATCCCCGCGCACAGCCTGGTGTCTGCCTAGGACACAGCAAGCGCTTCGACGCGCTGAAATAAACGAATCAAGGGGAACACCAACTCAGATGACACCTCTGCCCCCAAGTGTCACTGGCTAGATCTTCCCCCGGTTCGCCGGCTGCACCGGTGGGTCTTGCCATCTCTGCGCCCGCAACCCTCCTGAGGCTGCCGCTGCTGTCTGAGAGCAGACACCCCCTCAGGAGAGCCGGAGCTCCCCCAGCGCAGGGCCCCGCTCCGCACTCTTGGTCCCGGGCGTCCCCACGGAGGCCTCCGTGCTCAGTGAAACTTTGCCGCGCACCGCAGCGGCCAGAGGCCCGCGCGGACCGTGTCTCCATGCGGCCCGGCCCAGGGCGCGCCGCACCCCTCGACCCGTGGCAGCTGCCCTGACCTGGGCCAAGGTCGGCCAAGTCCTCGCCGCCTGCCCAGAGGCCCTTGGACCCACAGGCCCGGAACCCGAGTGCGCGGGAGCCTCCGAGCTGCGGCCAGGTCTCAAAACGAGCGGCGGGGCAGCCCGGCCCGTCAAGCAGGGAGGCCGAAACTAGAAGCCTCAGGTCTGGCTCGCTCACTGTTTGGTGCGAGACTTCGACAAGCAACTACCCTTCAGGGACTCAGTTTCCCCCGCGGCCAAGTGAGGGGGACAGCAGCGGCTCCCGCGAGAACTCGCGCGGGAACAGCAGACGCTGGCTCCACACAGCACCTGGCACGTAGACTACTAACTGGCTGGAAGGCCGCGCTCCCGCCTCCGCGCCACCCTAGAACCTTTCCTACCTCAGGCTCCGGCTCCGGGACTCACCTCACGTCCCCTCCCTCCACCGTGGGCCTCAACCACCCTCACTTCCGCTGACCCGCCCCCCGGAAGCGATCCTCCGCAGCTGCGCACCAAGCCGCGCACCAAGCCGCGCCTCCGCGCACCCTCGGGAGGCGGGTCCAGCCCGGGGGCGAGGCGAGCGCGGCCCCTGAGGGGGCGGGGCGCTGGCGGCCGCACGCTCCGATCCCGCGGAGGCCACGCCCCGCAGAGGTTTGCGCCTCCCGGAAGAGTTGGTGGCCTTTGGAGATTCCGGAGCATGATTCGTCGCATCCCCCACGTTTAGCCCCCATCCGACTTGACATCTGGAAGCCGAGGGCTGACTGTGTTGCTCGACCCCTAAAATATGCGGTGTATGCTGCTCCTACCCCTAGGGCAAACTATCATAATCCCCACCCTGGCGTACAAGCCCTGGGCCTCTTCCCAGTTCACCGTTCCCAGGCAAGGCCCTCTGCAAAGCCTCTCTCCAGCAAGAATGGGCAGAATAGGCCTTTTTCTCCTCTGACTCCTGCTCTCCAGCACTTTGCAGCTTTCTTCTATTTTAGCCTCCCCCCGCCCCACCCCCGAAACACGGTATATTCAGTGAGTTTGCTCATTAGATGGGTACCATGCTCAAGACCCCAGCGGCACTGTAGGAAGAGCCACATTCTTTCCAGGCTCACTAACCCACTCCCTCTTTGTGCTCCTGCCCTCACTGTCCTGGCTCTGTGGCATTCAGTTCCTGGGTCACATTTCCTCCTCTGCCTTCAGCACAGCCTCAGGCTGTGCCTGGCTCCCACGCTGCGGTTTCTTGGTCCCAAAGCCTGCTATCCTCTCTGCCAGAGACAGAGCTGGTTTCATGGGTAAACGGGCCCCATTCTCAGAACTCTGTACTTGGTTTAGTACTCTGCTGTTGTCCTCTTGTAATGATTAATTTTCTAACTGTGCTCTGCAAATGATGTTACTGGTCCTAGCATGAGACCTCAGAGGTCATCCATTCTGATCTCCACCATATTTCAAATGCTGAAGATTGATTTCCTGAAGATTGACTAGCCCTCCTTCCAGGATGGCACATTGTGTTTTAATCATTACCTTCCCCTTCTGTGCAATGGCAGATCATGGAAGTCCATGCTAGCTCTTTCCTGGGCATAGATGCTGATTTGGTGCCTCACTCAGATCCCCTTGTAGGAAGAATGGAACCCCTTAAACTGGGAATTGCCTTCATCTCCCAAACCAATGACTAATACAAGGTCCAAAAGGTTGGTTCAACTCTGCAGTGTGGTTCAGGCCAAGGATGGGCTGAGACTCTGTTTCTGCTCAGCATTTTTCCTTTCCCTCTTCTGTTTCCCTCCTTCTTTTACAGGTTTTTCTGGAAGTTCACTTCCTTAAAAAAATAAATCAATCACCTCATGCCTGCCTCAGGCTGTTTTTAAGACAATGAGTTTAACATCAGGATCTTTCTCAACAGAAAGCACCAGATTCTCAAAACGGTAAGTCCTACCATTTGTTCTATCACAAACTTATTTTGGGGAAGTCACTCAAGCCCTCTGGTGACTAAGATAGTCCTCCAAAGCATTTCAGCTCAAGTCAGCCCCAGGAGGGAGCCCCACCCCATGAAAGGGCAGAACTGACAACATCCCACTGAAAGGAAAAGCACTTAGAACTACCCAATCAGTCTTCTCTGATTTTATTACAGAGCATGTTGGGGACAAGGGAGGGAAGTGGCAAAGGAGTGACAGGAGGGCAGCCTAGGCCCTCTCTCACCCGGAGCCTTGAGGCCTGGTGGGGAACAGGAACTGCAGAGGCATCAGATGAGGCCTCGGAAAGCCCAGGCCATCAGCACCTTACATGGGACCAGAAACGTGGAGTTCGCTCTCTAGGAACAGCAGGAGAAAGGCTTGCATAAGCTACGCTTGCCACCTACACCTGACAGGATAGGGGAGACCCAGAGAGAGCATCAGGCGCCCTCCCTTCCCATTAAGGGGCACGGGAGCACTTCCTCCAAGGACACAGAGCCTGGCTGAGCTGGCTGGCTCACGCTTCTTCTGGTCTAGGGGTCAGAGAGTGAGATACTCTGATTTGAAAGGCCTTCCTTCCTACTTTGGGGAAAACAGGTAGGGAGGTGAGGGTGCAGTGCCAAAAAAACACCCCCAAAACTCCACCTGGCTGAGTAACCCTGGGCAAGTCACTTCACTTCCTGGAGACTCGTTTCAAGATGGGAACAATGAGCATCGCTTCACAGGTTTGTTGTGAGGATTAAGCGAGAAAGTGTGTGTAATATTACTGATGATTGGATGATGCAAAATTGAAAACAAGGCTGGGCGCGGTGGCTCACGCCTGTAATCCCAACACTCTGGGAGGCTGAGGTGGGCGGATCACGGGGTCAGGAGTTCGAGACCAGCCTAACTAATATGGTGAAACCCTTTCTCTACTGAAAATACAAAAATTAGCCAGGCATGATGGCATGTGCCTGTAGTCCCAGCTACTAGGGAGGCTGAGGCAGGAGAATCGCTTGAACCCAGGAGGTGGAGGTTGCAGTGAGCTGAGATCGTGCCATTGCACTCCAGCCTGGGCAACAGAACAAGACTCTGTCTCAAAACAAAAAACAAAACAAAACAGGCCGGGCGTGGTGGCTCAAGCCTGTAATCCCAGCACTTTGGGAGGCCGAGGCGGGTGGATCACAAGGTCAAGAGATCGAGACCATCCTGGTCAACACGGTGAAACCCCGTCTCTACTAAAACTACAAAAAATTAGTTGGGCATAGTGGTGCGTGCCTGTAATCCCAGCTACTCAGGAGGCTGAGGCAGGAGAATTGCCTGAACCCGGGAGGCGGAGGTTGCGGTGAGCTGAGATCGCGCCATTGCACTCCAGCCTGGGTAACAAGAGTGAAACTCCGTCTCAAAACAAAAACAAAAACAAAAACAAAAACAAAAACAAAACAAAATAAAATTGAGACGACGACTGGCTGGGGAAGGCTCAGTGGAAACGCTCAAGGCAAGCAGGGGAAGTTGGTGGACAGAAGGCCTGGGAGTGGCTGCAATGTAGCTTCCTTCCTCTGCCAGGTTTAAGAGTGAGCTCCGGATGGGGAGAAAATTAGGGTCCCGGGAGGGGGCAGCCTGACGTCAAGGCCCGAATGAGGGTGCACGGGTGCCCATGGGCGGGACAGCACGGGGAGAACAGGGATCCTCTGAGGAATGTTAAAAAGCTGAAGAGAAAGAAGAGAGGACTATTTCTTCCCACAGGTGCAGCTGCAAAGACATCAAGCTGGACCCATCGAGGATTTCAGATCCAGCCATCATGGGGCTGCTGCCGGGGACACCAGTGCCCCTCCTTTCTCCTCAGCACTGGGGTTATAAAAAAATATCTACAAACCATGAGAAAGTTTGTGTAAAAACACTTTTCCGCATGTATTAAAAAAAGAAACTGGCCATGGTCAGTGGCTCAGGACATGGACCAAAGTCCCAAGAGTGGCCAAGGGGAGTCCATGGCACCCCAGTGGTAGAAGAGGTAGCCTGGGGCACCCCTGTGGCCGGCACAGTGCTGGCTCTGGAGAAGGCTATTGTTTGGCTGGGCTATGCTTCCGTGGATGCGAGGTCTGAGGGGCAGGAGGGATGGCAGGAGCGCTGGCTCCAGCAGTCCCATGAAGACCCTGTGCTGGGGTGGGCGGTGGGGGAGCCTTGGCCCTGGGCCTCAGGAACCCCTTTAGTGAACCCCATTGCTAAAGGCAGAAGCCTCTTCACAGTAAGCTTCCCCAGACAGCTGGGGGAGCTGCAGGGGGTCCAGTCTGGTTTCCACTTCTGATGGAGGGTTCTGCCCAGAGGCTCCAGAAGGCTATGTCCTCCTGAGACCGACCCCAGCTGGGGACATCAGGCACAGGAGGGCAGCCCAGGGTATGGACAGTAACCAAGGCGCTAAATGAACAGAAGAGCCACCTTGGCAGCCTGGCTTCTGCCCGGGGCTTCTGGATATGTCCTTGGGGAAGGAAGCACGGAGAGGATGGTGGCCCTGTCCTCCTAGCCTGCTCCTCCCTCCTCTTCTTCACCCCACAAGGGCCTAGACTGTGCGGCTGGCTGGGAGAGGTCCAGGGAGTCCCCCCAGGCCCTGATCTGGGGGGGGCCCAAGCAGCTTCCAGAGCCAAGTGGGTAGGGAGAGGGTGACAGAGCTAGAGGTTCCTCTGCCCAGTCAGCCCAGGCACCCCTTGTTTACCCACCACCATGGAGCCAAGGCTGTGACGGGCACCCTCAGTGGCTCTTGTACCCCAAGGCAGCCTAGAAGTGGGTGGGCATGGGCGGCATCTGCAGTTTGCAGTGGGCTGAGGGCCACTCTGGCTCTGGGAAGTGGGGGCCTGTGCATCAGATCCCATCCGCCCCGCAGGCACTCTAGGGCTGGAGCAGGGGCAGGCCGCGCCGGAGCCCCTCCTTCAGGAACTGCATGTAGGTGGCCGTGGACGGGTCTTCAAAGGTGGGTGAGAAGCTGAAGAGATTGCTCTCGATTTCCTCGGGCTTCATGGAGGTGATGTCCAAGAAGTAGTTGGCATTGATGTGGTGGACCTGGGAGAAGGGCTGGGTGAGAAGAGTGGGGAAAGGGGGCCCCCAGGCTCCATGTGCCTTCTGCTCTCTGGGGAGAAGCAGCGACTCTCGAGCATTGGCAGTCCCTGTCTGAGGCAGATGGTGGGCAGGTGGGCAGTGATGCAGTAAGCCCTGGCCAGCACCAACCCTGCGCCCCACTCTGCACATGTGGGGCCCTCTGACGAGGGGTCTCCTCCCTGCCTTGCCCAGCAGGTGAAAACCCAACACCTTCCAACATTGCCCCTTCCACTAGCCCTCTGCCCCACCCCCCCAAAATGACCTCTCTCCTTGTTCATGTGACCCCAAACTCCATCCTGAACTCCGTATCCACTTCTCTCACGGTACCCTCACACTTGACAGCCTCCCCATCGGCCTCTCGCTCCAGAAAGTGAGCTCCTTAGCACAGGACCATGTCTTTATCTTTGTGCCTGGCACAGAGTAGGTGTCCAGTAGACGAACAAATGAATGAATCAGCAGACGAGTGGCCAGCCCGTCGTCCTCCAGTTCCTGACACCATCTCATCACCCTGTGCATGGATGGCAGATACCTTCTGCCCGGTGCCCGTTCCTCTGCACCAAGCCCCCACCGGACACTCTCCTGTGCCAGCCCCTACTCCCCTGAGACCCTGGCACCCTCCTACAGCCTGGGTCCCACACTAGCCACGCCATGGGACTTAAAGGATACGGGGTCGCTTCGATCAGAAGAGCCGGAGCTCTGAGGCTTAAGGGCAGGCCCAAGTTCAAGGCCAGCTGCACTTCACTGTCTGCATGTGTCAAGTCTCTGAACCTTTCTGGGCCTCTTTCCTTGTTTGTAAATGGGCATTCATGATCATCCATCTCCCAAAGCTGCTGTGAGGCCCCAGTGAGGAGACATGCCGAGTGCTGGGTAAGGGCCCTTAGCGAGAGGTGGGGTCTTGAATCCTGGCTCAGGGCCCTCTCCTGGTCTTCTCTGTCGCACGGCCTGGCTCTTCCCTCCCCTTCCGTCCCAGGACTGGTTGCCACGCCCCAAGGGGGCGCTGACTCTGCTCTGGGACTGTGCTCACTGCTGCACAGTCCCCAATGAGCACCACCTGCATCAGCGTTCCTGTTTGTACATGGGGACAGCAGAGGCTCAGACTGGGTAAGAGACCAGCTTGAGGCTTTGCAGCCAAGAAGTGGCAGAGCCAGACCCGAAGCCCGAGGAAGCTGCACATCCATGCCGCCTGTGGGTTGCTCCCTGGGCCCTGTGGGATCCAGGTGGGGGTGCCTACCACGGTGCCATTGGGCAGGCAGACCATCATCTCCACGGGAAAGCTGTACTTCTCCAGGTGCAGGCCAGCCAGCTTCTGGTGGGCCGGGTTCTCCTGGTTGCTCTGTGGAGACAGTTGTACACCCCTGATGCCGCGGCCCCTCCACTGCTCCGAGGCTCCCGCTCCTGCCCGCCTGCCCACTAACCTGCAGCTCTTCCAGCTCCTTCACCAGGGACCAGGTGCTGATGAAGCTCTCGTTGAGCAGGGTGAGGATGGGCGAACTTTCCAGGACGGTCTCCCGGAGAGTCCGCCCCGAACCTGTTCAGAAAGAGGAAAAAGCTGGAAGACAGAAGGGTGAGGCGTTCCCACGTCTTGCTGGGGTACAGTCTTGCTTTGGGGAAACCTCACGGGTTACAGAACAGTCTCTGCACCCAGGTGAAATGACAGATTGAAAGAGCCTGACACAGAATAGGTACTGAATAAATGGTAGTTGGAATTTACATCAATAACATGCCAGCATCCTGGGCTGAGATTAGGGGTAGGGGTTCTACCTGGCCCCAGGGACTTGCAGACAGCGACAGCTTCTTAAATCCAATGAAGGCTGTGCCCCAGGGCCTTCGCACAGGCTGTTCCTCTACCTGGCACACTCCATCCAGTCACCTGACAAACTCCTACTCACACTTCAAAGTCTCTGCGTAAATAGCACTGTCTTCACAAAGCCTTCCCTCACCCCCAGTTCTACACTCTGGTGCCACTCTGGACTGTTCCCTGTAGAACACTCAACCCACTTGTACTGATTCATTCAGTGTCTGCCTTTGCACTGTGTCACCCCCTTTGAGGGCAGGGACCCTCTCTGACTTCCTCCCTGTGGGATACCAGCACCCTACCCACTACTGCACTGATAGTTGATGGGATGAGGGCGGGGCACTGTTTTATTCATCTTTGTGCCTGCTGCCAGGCACCCAAAGAACGTTGCATCTAGGAGGTCTTTGGTGAATTTTCTGAATAAATGAATGCAAGCCCACCCTGTGGCCCAATTCTCTCTCTTACACATGTATAACACTTCCCAGCATATGCGGCACTTTCACCTCCATGTCCATAGCTCTAAGAGGTGAGTGTGTTACCCCCTCTTACTGCTGAGAAAATGAGGCTCAGGGAGGGGAGGTCACTTGCTCAAGGTTACCAGGCTGGCAATGGCTATGTTTGAACACAGTCTGCCCGGGCCCTTTCTTCAGCATCTGGTCGCTCCCTCTGGGCTCAGCACAGAAACCCCAGGCCCTCACCCCACACCTCTACCATGTGCAGTCCCTGAGCCCCTCTCAACAGGAGAGTCCCGAGCTTCCGGTACCCCACAAGGTATGGACTTTCCCACTGTTCCCCTTATATCCAGCTGGGCCCCTCACCTCAGCAGGACTGGTCGTCCAGGGCCCCCCACAGCAGGATCGAGTGCACCAGCTTGTTCTCAGCCTTGGCTCGGTCGAAGGCCTCAGTGAACGGCAAGTAGGAGACCTGGGGTCAAAGGAGACAGAGTGAAGCCATCATCAAAGTGGCCAGGGTCTCACTGTGAGTCTAGTGTGTGCATGTGTATGTGTGCAGGTATATATATTTGTGTGTGTGTGTACATGTCTGTACATTTGTATGTATATGTATGTTTGTGCGTATATATATGTTAGTGTGTGTGTCTGTATGTGTGTGTGAAGGGGGTGCTGCTGAGTCAGGGGATGGATGTCTCCTCCAAGTTCTATTTATTTATTATTATTTTAATTTATTATTATTATTTTTTGAGATGGAGTCTCACTCTCTTGCCCAGGCTGGAGTGCAGCAGCACAATTGTAGCTCACTGTCGCCTTGAACTCCTGGGCTCAAGCAGTCGTCCTGCCTCGGCCTTACCAAAGCTTTGGTATTATAGGTGCTAGGTAATTAAAAGATTTTTTGTAGATATGGGGTCTCGCTGTGTTGCCCAGACTGGCCTTGAACTCTTCTGGCCTCAAGTGACTCTCCTGTCTCAGCCTCCCAAAGTTTTGGGATTATAGGCATGAGCCATTGCACCTGGCCTCTTCCTCCAAGTTCTGAATGACAGCAGGGAGGCCCCACTGGTACACGCTGGGCCAACAGTGAGAGGGCCTCAGCAGCAAGCCCTGCACACACGCCAGCGCCTGTGCCCAGCTGCTGCTCCGCAGCTCCCAGCCTCTGCCCATGCAGCCGGACCTGGCCTTCACCCCTGCCCAGCCTCACCTTCTTGAAGGGGTACATGGCCACCTCCAGGCGGCGGACAGCCTCCTCCCAGCTCAGCTCCTGCTGCCACTTGATCTCCTCAAACACAAACTGCAGGGGCTCCCCCGAGGGCAGGTGGCTGTCGATCACGCTGCCATCCTCATCCAGGATCATGGAGGGCACTGAGGGGCCTGTGGCCTCCAGCTCCATCTGGGCCAGAGGTCAGTGGTTGGGGGAAGGCTCAGAGATGGTCGAAAATCCTCAGGGGGTCCCTGAGAGACCCTCCAAGATGCTCCGCTCATTGCACAGCAAAGGCAGGCTCCTGCAGCCGAGCCCACCTGGATGGGAGCCTCCTGTGCACTCACCTGGGGTATGTAGCCGATGTCCACCTCCATGTTGCTGCTTTCACTGGCCCCATAAAGCCACTCCATGTCCACATTCAGAGACCTGGGGACGGCCAGGGCAGAGTGATACCGTCATCAAAGCCCATTATCTGTGTCAGACTTTTCTCACGTAACACGTGCAACTGTCTCCATTTTCCAGATAAGGACACTGAGGCTTCTCAAGGTGAACGCCTGCTCTCAGAGCCACTGGGATTCTGGCTGCAGAGCCCAGACCCTCTCCCCACCAGGCTGCCCCTTCCTAAGGCACTGGAGCCACTTCACCATCTGCCAGTCCTGCTCCTCACAGTTCACCAAGGGCCTGCACAGCCATGGCCCGTGTACTGCCCAGAACCCTTCAAGGCAGAGAGATGGCCAGTGCCTTACAGTGGGTCACAGGGTGGGATAGGAATGAAAATGAGCACCGTGGTCCCTGCACAGGCCGCTGGCAGGCAGCAGGAAATCTGACAGTGCAATCTGCAGATCCGCCACAAGGGGGAGCCCCAGCACTGACAAACCACCACCTCCGCAGCAGGCAGGTGGCACAGCGGGGCAGAGCTAAGCACCTCCCGGGGGTCAGCAGTCCCTGACACCTGGTTCTCAGACACGAGCCCAGGAGCATCTGGTCCTGGAGCTGGTCACTGCCTCTCTCCTTCTGTCCCACACAGTCCCCCTCCTCAACAACCCTGGGTTGGAGGCAGGTGTGCCCAGCCTTAGGCCTGCGGATGGAGGGTTTGTGCGCTCCTCTTCCTTTTCCCTTTGACTGGGAAGCCCCTGCCCTGCCCACTCTGGGGAGGGAGGGATTCCACCTCCACTCCTAGGAGCAACTTTCTCTTCTCATGTTACCCAACCATCCTCTCACGGCTGCCCCGTGGGTGAAACAGGCCAGGAGTCAGTCTCCCACCTAACCCTACGGAGGGCCAGGGTCTTGCCCACAGCCACACGGCCCAAGGGTGCCACAGCCAAGACTCAACTGCAGACCTCCTGGCTCCCAGCCCAGGTCTTGTCCCTGTAAAGCGGTCATTCAGGCCCGATAGGTGGCCACTTGCTATCAGGAATCTGGAAAAACTTGAAACCAGGGCCTCCTGGGTCCCCTGCTCTGCTGACAGGCGGCCAGCCCTCAGCAGGGGAGGCAGGCAGGGAGTGGCTGGTACAGTCCTGTCCCAGAAGCCCCTCCAAGGCTCTGCAGCAGTAGAGGGCCTGCCTGTGGCCTTTGCATGTGCTGTTCCTCTGCCTGGTGAAATCCCTGGAGCCCCTGGTATCTGCTGAGATGACCTTCTTCTGGGAAGCATTCCCACACCCCACAGCCAGGTTCCTGGCTAGCTGCTGGCCTTCCCCTTGGTGGCATGCACAGGCTGTGGTTACAGCTCTGCCTGTGGCCTATCAGCAATGTGCGGGTGGGGAGGCCCAGCTTCAGGAAAGGTCTGCGGGCTGCTGGGCTGGGTCCCAGGCACAGAGGTGGAGGGCCAGGCCACGCGGTGCCTGGGAAGAGCTGGCAGGTGACCGGCTCATCCCCTTGCCCACCTTGTGCTGCCTTCGCCCGCCTCATGCCGCCTTCTCCCACGTCAGCCCCAGCAGATGGGCTCTGGGGAGCCAAGGAAGGGCAGAGACAGAAGGAGCCCCTAGGCTCCTGGAGCTGAGGAACAGGACCGGCTGTAGGAGGGTGCCAAGGCTGGGCCAGGGTCAAGCTCCCACCTGTGGTTGGGCACGAAGAGCCGGAAGTCGCGGATGTGGGTGGCATCTTTGGAGAGGATGATGTGGCCGGTGAACTGAGCAGGGGAGAACCAGAAGGGGAAGTCGGGCGGCTCACTGAGCTGGAACTCGGCGTGAATCCTGTGGGGAGGGTACCTGCTGCGCCAGAGCTGCCCACCTTCTCCCCAGGGGCCCGGGAAGCCTTGGCCAGACTCATCAGGGAGAGGAGGCCAAGTGTGGGGGTGGAGGTGGGCGGGCCGGGGAGCCACAGTGAGGCCCTCCAAATTCCGCTTGTCCTTCGAGGCCCAGGTCACGTGCCCCTCCTCCGGAAGCCCTGCCTGGACCCCCTCCCCAAGCTCTCACAGCTTCTAGAGGGCACGCGTGACTGCGTGTCCTGCCTACTTGTGTGGATGGCACAACCATGGCTGCCAGCCCCGTGCCAAGCAAGTTCCACAGCTTTTCTTTCTGAACCCTCACGTGCCCCATGAGGAAGTCATCAGCACCCAGATCCACAGATAGGGAAACTGAGGCTCAGGGAGCCAAAGCTGCTCGCCTTAGACGGCAGGGGGAGGAGAGGTGGAGCTGGGGGCCTCAAGCCGGGCCCTCCCCTCCGGGCACCATACCGTCCGCACCTCCCCGAAGCTCCCGTGTGGCCCACTCACCGGAACATCACGGTGTAGTAGAAGTCGCTGACGGCAGTCAGGCAGGCCACTGCTCCCTGAGGGGCAAAGCGGGTCTTCACAAAGGGCCGAGGGTGGAACATGCTCAGGAGCCGGTGGATGATGACCTGGGATGGAGGGAGGCGAGCGCTGGCTTGCTGGGTGCCGCTGGGCCTGGATCCACTGGGGTGGGGGTCAGCCCAGACCCGAAGGCCCAGGGGCCCCGTGGGGAAGGGGCAGGTCCAGAGGGAGGCAGAAGAGCAGGTGGGGCAGGCCTGGCACTGGGGTACAGGCACAGATGGGGGGTGACCATTCCTAGGCTGGGGCGGCGGGGCACCGGGTGGCACCAGCTGTCCTCACCTCCTTGCCCTTGGGCGGCGGCGGATAGAAGCGGTTGTTGGACAGGTAGCCAGTGAAGACGCTCAGCTCACTGGGGATGATCCACCAGGGCTTGCCCAGCTCCTGGCCTGGGGGGGGAAGGAAGGGCTGGAAGTGGCGGGCGGCAAATACTGTCCTCGGTGAGGCTGCAGTCGTCCAGTTTCGGAGGCCGGACAGGGTGAGGCGGGAGACCTGGGGCAGGGGAAAGCGAAGCTCCAGGAATCTGAGAACCGTGACTCTGGGGCCTCCTGTCCCATGTGGGTGGAGGTTCCCCCAAGCCCAGAGCCAGTCCACACCGAGGGAGCAGATGGACCCCAGGGCGGTTCCTGCCCCAGTGATGGCCACAAGCTTGGCAATACCCCACCCAAGAAAGGCTCCTCTGCTCTCTCCAGCGCCTCTGCAGACCACCAAGGGGGAGCCCAGGCCAGAGCAGCTCACTCAAGGGCAGGGCTGGAATGGGGTGATAGGGCTCTGTGCCTCACATGGTCCTGCCTCCATCCTCTGCATAAGCCCGTGGGCCAGTCTTGGGTGCCCCGCCCTGCCCAGGCTTCCTGGGCCTCCAGCAGCCCTGCTCTCCCTCCCCCACCTCCTCTCCAAGTCTCCTCCCAGGGACTAATGTCCCACTGGCCAGCTCAAGGTTTCGGTTTGGAGTTAAGTCCGATGAGGGTGGTGTGCAATCATGTTCGAGGTGAAATCTCTAGGGTCAAGAGCAGAATGAGACCACAGGGAAAGGGAAGGAGGGACACCCCAGAAGCACCCTGCCCTAAGTACAGCCTGCCCCACCCTGGCTAGACAGCCTGGACAAAGGCCTCCCCTAAGCCCGAGTCCTCGTCAGTGACCTGCCTCGCCTCTGTCTGACAGGCTGATGGCCTGGAGAGGAGACTCAGAGGCCACAGAGCTGTCTACACGTTGGCCGGTCTTTGAGGAGCAGCGGGTTCCCTCTCCTGTCCCCACCTCCATAGCAGCAGGAGCTCAGGCTTGGCGGGAGGTAGGAGGAAAGCAGTGCGGAAAGCTCCCACGGAGAGAGACTGAACAGGCGGTTCTCAAGGCAGAGCGGCTGTGTGGAGCCAGGACCAGCCCGCCCTGCTGGGTCCTGCTTGTGGGCTGGCCACCCCCTGCAGGGGACCTGCCAGAGATGGGTGCTGGGCTTGGTGCAGCTCTGCTTGGGGGCCAGGGCTGAGGGTGCTGCTCCTGCCCCACCCCAGTTCTTGCTGTCTATGGGGGACTCATCCACTCGGACCAGCCCATCACTGCCAAACCCAGAGACGGGCTCCCCAGCTGCTTCTGTGGAAGGGCAGACCCAAGTTTCAGCCACTGCCTAGACCTCTGCCTGTCTGCTGGGCTCTCTCTCCTTGGCTGAGAAGAACACGTTGATTCATTTGTTCATTCAACAAAATGTTTTATGCACCTACTATATACTTATATAGGGGTACACTGTGCACCCTGTCTTCTTGGAGTTCATAATGGGAGACGGCAAGTGAACAGGAACAAAAATGGGCACTGCCCTTCCCTGAGCTCCTCCTTGGAATTCCCATCCCTCCCCGAACCTGCAGCAATGAGGTTAGGAAAGGGGCTCCCAGCCAGGTGCGGTGGCTCACACCTGTAATCCCAGCACTCTGGAAGGCCGAGGCGGGTGAATCACGATGTCAAGAGATCGAGACCATCCTGGCCAACATGTCTCTACTAAAAATACAAAAAAATTAGCTGGGCATGGTGGCTCATGCCTGTAGTCCTAGTTACTCGGGAGTCTGAGGCAGGAGAATCGCTTGAACCTGGGAGGCAGAGGTTGCAGCGAGTCAGGATGGCGCCACTGCACTCCAGCCTGGTGACAGAGCAAGACTCCGTCTCAAAAAAAAAAAAAGAGGGGGCTTCCCAGCACTGCTTCCTTGGGCTGGGCAAGGTAGTAATTCCACTGTAGGTGCCAGCCTCATACTCATTCCAGTTTTTTCTGCCACGTGGCCACCAGGCTCTAAAGCTGAGCACTGCCATGGGGCTGCTGCTGGGTGGCAGATACCCAGCACCCGCCGGGACCTCAACTTCAACATGTGCAGACTGACCTCATTCTCTCCCCACTCCCTGCCCCGCTCCAGTCCCCATCTGGGCAAGCAGCCCACCATGCCCCTGGTCCCCAGCCAGAAGCCTGAGTCATCCAACTCCTGCCCACCATTGTCCATGAGGAGCCACGCCCTGCCCTTCCTTCCTTCCCCAGCACCCACAGGCTTCCCTAACCCTCCATCACCTCTGCCTCTCCGGTCCAGAACTGGTCGTCTTGCCTCCCATTTCTCCCTATTCTCCCCATGCCCCCCGTGCCCTGTCCCCGGCCTGGAAAGCCCAGGTCTAATGTGGAAGCTCTTATTTAAAATCTGCTTGCTATTCTGCCGCCACAGAATTAAGGCTAAGGTCAGGCCACAAGGCCCTTGGTGGGGTTTGGCAACTTCTCTCCCGGCCCCACTGACCAGGAGGCCCTGCGTGGGTCCTGAATGCTCTGGGCCCAGCCACACCAGCCGTCTGGCCTTGGTGACCAGCCTGGCACTTCCTGCCTTCAGGCCTGTGTTTGTGCTGAAGTGGCGCTGGCTGAGATGAAAGGGCTGGGTCGGTGTGGGCTGGGCACAGAGAGGCAGCGTTCCTGGCAGCGGGAACCACATGTGAGAAGGCTCCCAGTTGGAAGAAAGCCTGGGGATTTGGAAGGAAGGAAGCATGTCTGGTGTGGTTGGAATAGAGGAAGCCCAGAGAGAGGAGGAGGGAATGGGAGAGCGAGCAGAAGGGCAGGCAGGGGCTGAGGCAGCTTCGTCCTAGAATGCGCTCAGGAGCCGTCCAAAGGGCCTTGGGTGAGGGAGGGGCTGGCAAGGATAGCATCTGTCCACCTCCTACCTCCACCTTCTCAGGTGCCCTCCCCTGGAAAGCCCTCTGCTGGGGACCAAACCTCAGGTCTAGATCATCAGAGTTCAACAGAGGCCCTATTGGGTGCCAGGCATCGTGCTACGGCCTGTGGGGAAGAGATGGACGTGCAGGAAGTAATCATAATACGTGGGGCAGCCGCATTAACAGGGTGTCCACTGCACTTGCTGCTTCCTCTGAGACCCCGCCCTCCTTGCTCAGTCACCCTGCTGAGCCCTCCCCATCCTGCAGTCTACCAGATGTCACTTCCTCTAGGAAGCCATCCCAGATTCCCCCATCTGGGGAGGAGGCTAATGCTTCTCTCTCCTGCTCCCTCAGCAGGCTGTATGCCTGGACAGCAGGGACAACATCACAGCCATGCAGACCCCCAGGGCCTGGCACGGGGCCTGTCTCCAGTGGGCACACAGAGGGCAGAGGGAGGAAAGATGAAAGGAGCAGAAACTCGTCCTCAGGAGGCAGATGCGCATGGATGACCCCGCTGCCTGGGGTCCCCAGCTCACCCCTAGGAAGCCATCTTTGCTCTTGGTCATGGTCTCCGGGAGCAGAGGCTGGAATCGGGCTTCTATGGTGAGCGTCTCCTCGCTAGGGTCAGGGGGCAGCTCCTCCTCCTCGTAGCTGGCCTCAGGAGTTGACCCTATGAGACACAGATCATCGGAGGCACTGGCCTCATGGTGCAGGGCTCACCTCTCCCTGGACATCCACGCTAGCCGGTTATTAATGGAGCCAGGCAGGGGTGAGGGGTGTGGGGGTAGCTGGGGTGTTAACAGTTAACAATCACCAAAGTAACAACCGGTGTATCACAGTTTAGTTTCAGGATAGCCCAGGGAGGCAGATAATAACGACCAACTCCATTTGACAAATGAGAAAGAGAAGACTCAGAAAGGTGAAGCCACCTCCCCCGGTCACATAGCTAGATGGTAGGAGAATCAGGGTGGAAACCGAGGCCTGTTTACTCTAAACCCATGACAAACACAACTCTTTTCTGGGTCTTCTGAGACTGAGAGGAACTCAGTCAAGGGAACCAGAGTTATGAATGAAAGCAAGAAACAGACTCAGGCTATCTTTGGTGTCAGAGGGAGAGCACTGGTTTGGGAGCAAGGAGACCCATTTTCCCCTGCTTTTTTTTTTGTTGGCGGGGGCGGGGGGGGCATTCCCCAGCTGTAGAAGGGGCTGGACTGGCAGTAGCTGGACTTGATTTCTTGGATTTTTTCCTGCTCAGAGATCTGGCAAGTGTGTAGCCTTCCCCATGTGGAAGGAGTCATTTTGAAGCTCTAAGGGAGAAATGAAGCCTGTTTCAAAAGGGGTGAGGAATAGACACCAATAACAGAATGGAGCTGGGTGGGGGGTCTTGCCCTGTCTGCTCTCTCGGGGCAGGGTCATGGTACAGAGATGATGCCTGGCATTTGCTGGCTAGCAGGCTGAATGATGCATTAGAAGCAGTTCTCACCCAGAAGTCCTCAAAAGCACTGAGGATGCCTTTAAGCTGCAGATGCTCACAACCACCTCAGACCTACTGAATCAGAATCTGCAGGGGCGAGAGTCTGGAAACTGCCCTTTTAACGAGCACTCCCTGCTGCTCCGGATGCAAATGCCTCTTCTGAAGAATCACTGTGATTTCTGTATTTGTAAGTCAATGCAATGAAACTTTCCAAAAGGCAATCTAGAAACCCCAGAGGAAGGGAGCAACAGGAAAGAGGCAAGGTTATTAGTCAGCCTTGCTTGTTCAATTCTTTTACTGATATCACAGATAAATATTAGTAGTAATGATTCCAGCTGGGCAAGGAGGCGCACTCCTGTAATCCTGACACTTTGGGAGGCAGATGTGGGTGGATCACCTGAGGTTAGAAGTTTGAGAACAGCCTAGCCAACATGAAACCCCGTCTCTCCTAAAAATACCAAAATTAGCTGGGTGTGGCGGCACAAACCTGTAATCCCAGCTACCCGGGAGGCTGAGACAGGAGAATTGCTTGAACCTGGGAGACAGAGGTTGTAGTGAGCCAAGCACTCCAGCCTGGGCAACAGAGCAAGACTCTGTCTCAAAAATAAATAAATAAATAAAAATAATAATAATAATGATTCCTCCACCACCTAGCTGTATGAACTGGGGAAGTAGCTTCACCTCTCTGAGCCTTTACTTTCTCATTTGTCAAATGGAGTTGCTAATGACGTTATTAATTATAATAATAAAGCTCAGTATCTTACAGCCCCTTTGGCTTTTTTTTTTTTTTTTGAGACGGAGTTTCACTCATTACTCAGGCTGGGGTGCAATGGCGCGATCTCGGCTCACCGCAACCTCCGCCTCCTGGGTTCAGGCAATTCTCCTGCCTCAGCCTCCTGAGTCGCTGGGATTACAGGCACGCGCCACCATGCCCAGCTAATTTTTTGTATTTTTAGTAGAGACGGGGTTTCACCATGTTGACCAGGATGGTCTCGATCTCTTGACCTCGTGATCCACCCGCCTCGGCCTCCCAAAGTGCTGGGATTACAGGCATGAGCCACCGCGCCTGGCCCCTTTGGCTTTTTAATAAAAAGTTTTTTTTCCTGACTTATGAGTAACATTTGCCCATTATAGGCCATTTGTAAAAATTTTAAGGGATAAGGCAGAAAAGTAAACACACGCATGACCCTACCAATAGCACCAGTCGGCCCTATTTCCTGCTTGATTTGATTTTCCCCTTTGATTTCTCCAAACGTGGTCCATTTTTACATTCACAGCTTAGAGGTAATGGAGGGATTCTTTTACTCTGATGGAGAAAAAGATTTCTATGCAAACAAATTAAAAGTGCCCCTCAAGCCCAGCAAGCTTTGCCAAAGTGCCATTATGAGAGACCTCTCACTCGGGCCACAAAAAAGGACAAAGAGGTGGCTGTGCAGACACTCAGAAGTGTATGCGAAATAAGAGGTACAGGCAGGGCCACAAGGGGACGACCTGTTTATCTGCCATCTGCTTTCAATGCCGCCGAGACACTGACACACACCCTCTCCAGCTCATCAGCAATTTTCTTCCGACCTTCCTCCTCTAGCAGCGACTGCAGGTCACCAGGCCAGCACGGAGCCAACCTACCCAATCCACCCATGAAAACCAGCAGGCCTGTGACAGGGCTTTGGTGCTTACACACCGAAACAACCAGCATGTCTCTCTTGCCTTTCCCATCAATGACTGACGTACACCAAGCAAGCTGTAGGTGCCCAAGATCCTAGGTTCAAGAAATGTCACAAGAAGTTGGAAGAAAATGGACACAGAGGTTGGGGTGGTGGTGGGGGCAGCGAGAGAAGCATTTTATAATTCATTAGACTGTTTCAGCCTCTCATCTTTAACCGAAAAATAAATAAATAATCACTGATTACAACTAGGCAAAAATGATAGCAAGAATGAAATAGGAGGCCAGATGAGGTGGCTCACACCTATAATCCCAGCACTTTGGGAAGCCAAGACCGGAGGATCACTTGAGGTCAGGAGTTCAAGACCAGCCTGACTAACGTGGTGAAACCCCATCTCTACTAAAAATACAAAATTAGCTGGGCATGCTGGCAGGTGCCTGTAATTCCAGCTCTTGGGGAGGCTGAGGCAAGAGAATTGCTTTAACCAGGGAGGCAGAGGTTGCAGTGAGCCGAGACCATGCTACTGAACTCCAGCCTGACAGCAAGACTCTGTCTCAAAAAAAGAGAAAGGAAGGAAGGCAGGAGGGAGGGAGGGAGGGAAGGAAGGAAGGAAAGAAGGAAGAGAGGGAGGGAGGAGGGAATAGGAATCTGAAAGCACCTAAGCAGTTTCAAATTTAGTATTAATAGTTACAGCTCCTGGCTGGGTGCGGTGGTTCACACTTTGTAATCTCAGCACTTTGGGAGGCCAAGGTAGGAGGATCATTTGAATGCAGGAGTTTGAGACCAGCCTAGGCAACATAGTGAGACCATACTCTAAAAAAAATAGAAAAATGAGCTGGGCATGGTGGCACATGCCTGTAGTCCCGTTACTCAGGAGACTGAGGCAGGATGATCAATTGAGCCAGGGAAATTGAGGCTGCAGTGAGCCGTGATTACACCACTGCCCTCCAGCCTGGGTGACACAATAAGACCCTGTCTCAAAAAAAAAAGTTATAGGTGCTGTCTATTGGAAATCCACTACATATTTGTCACTTTGCATTTCTTTTCTCTCTCCTCAGACCTGTGAGCTGGTGCAGGACTCTGGAGCCAGACGGCCCCAGTTCTCGCCCTGGCTCCCCACCTTTCTACCTTGGGATACTGCCTACCTGTGCCTTAGTCTCTCCAACTATCAAACATGGGGATCAAGGCAGTGTCCATCTTCCAGGTGATGTTTAAAGAGAGAACCCACATGAAGTACTTAAATGTCTGGCATGGAGGTGGCCAAGGAACTTTTTGTTTGTTTTTGGTTTTGCTTTATTTATTTTGAGACAGGGTCTCACTCTGTCACCCAGGCTGGAGTCTAGTGGTGTGATCTTGACTCACTGCAACCTCTGTCTGGTGGCCTCAAGTGATCCTCCCACCTCAGCTCCCCAAGTAGCTGGGACTACAGGTGCGCGCCAGCACACCAGGCTAATTTTTGTATTTTTGTAGGGATGGAGTTTTGCCATGTTGGCCAGGCTGGTCTCGAACTCCTGGGCTCAAGCGATCCTCCCATCTCCCAAAGGGTTGGGATTCCAGGCGTGAGCCACCTCGCTGACCCAAGAATGTTAACTGGTATTATTCCTCACAGTCTGAGAAAAACAGGCTCAGGGGTTACTGGAGCAGCTCGCTTAAGCCACCAGCTAGAAAGTGTCAGAGCTGGGAGAAGTCCAGGGCCTCTGGGGCCCCAGGAGCTTCCCTCCACTCCAGACAGCCGCTCCTGCTCAGTGAAGACACAGTGGCCAAGGCGCCCTCCTCCCCAGTTGCCAGTCTCTTCTGGTACCTGTTAGCTTCTCAGCAATGGGCTTGAACTCCTCGGGGCTGATGTACATGTCCCCGTCAGTGTCCAAGGAGGAAAAGAGAAAAAGGCCATCTGTCCCCAAGGTCTTCAGCGCTGATTCCTAATTGGGAGGAGAGACAGGTCTGATCACCAGTTGGCGGCCGGATATCCTGGTCCCCAACAGGCCGTTGTTTCCGAATGGAGCCCATCCTGCCACCATCTTCCTGAGTTCTCCCAGTGCCTCCGGGTCCATCCGTGCAAATGTCACCTCTGTACCGCCCCAGAGCCTCTGTCCCCTCTGGTCCCTCTGCATGCCCCTCCCAGTCTGTCCCCAGCCCGCTTTCTGCCTGGCCCTGTTCCTCCTGCACCCTCTGTCCTCTCCCGAGTCCCCTCCTCACTGGCCAGGGCTCCCCAGTGCCCCTTTCAGATTCTGCGGGTCCCAGCTTCACTGCGCCCAGGTCACCCCTCTGGACAGGCCCCTCCAGTCTGTCCCCGCTCCCTACGGGCCTCGGTTCGCCTCCTCCCCATCAGCCCGGCCCCAGGCACCTCCCAACCCGGCTCCCGCGCCCTTCCTACTCGTTCCCCTCCGCCCCTCGCGCCCTCCCGACTCGCCCCTGCCCACGCGTCCCCCGCGTCCTCCGCGCTCGAGGCTTGGCCCTTCAGTCCCCGCGCTCCCGCCCCCGCCCCGGCCCGCTAGGGCCCGGACCTGCCGCGCGGCCGCCTGGGCCTCGGCGTGGCGGGCGCAGACCCGGACGGCGGCGGCGGTGGCTGCGGCCAGCAGGGCTCCGAGCAGCGCCAGGGCGCGGGTGCGGCGGCGGGGCGGCGGCTCGGGAGGCGGCGCGGCGGGGCCGGGGCCGGGGCCGGGGCCGGGCGGCCCGCGTTGGCCCAGCCTGGCCCGGCCCATGGCGGAGGCTGGCAGCGGCTCCGGGCTGCCCCCGACGCGAAGGAGCCGGGCCGGGGGCGGGGCGGCCGGGGCGGGGCCGGGGGCGGGGCGGCCGGGCGGGGGTCATTGGGTCCGGGCTTCCGGGCCCGTCCCGCGCCCAAGGGGGGGTCGGCTACCCCAGAGCGCCAAAAAGGGCTGAGCCCGTCTACGCGGTCGGGTCCGCAGTCCTGGCCACCCCGGCCTCCCCAGGCCGCTTCCTGCCTCTCCGCGTCCCTTCCTGTGCTTCCCAAAGCGAAGCCAGGCCTCTGCGGCCCACTTGCCAGGCCGAGCCCGGAGAGCGATTTCAGGCTGGGGACTGGCACAAAAAAGGGTCTGGGGCCGGAGGCTGGGGAGAAGCCACACACCCCGTGCTCTCCTGGAGAAGGGGAGTCGGGGGCCACCGGGGCCTCGTGTCCACCTCTGCTGACAGCCATGCACGAGGCCAGTCCATCCTTATCCCACCAGTTCTCTAAACGTTCCTGTCACCTAGAGCAAGACAATTAATTAAAAAGGGACGTCCAGCCCCCGTTCCCCTCCGCTGCAGATGCATGGGTTATGGGGAATGACCTTGTTCCGGGCACAGGCGGGGCAGCTCTGAAACCTGCACCTCCCTGGGCCCAAATTTCCTCATCTCCACCAGGGCGTTAAAAGAGTCCCCCACCTCCCCACAGGGCTGTTATGGTGAGGGGAAGGCGAGGCTCTAGCCCCTCAGCTCCTGGGGCTTCCAGAGGCCCTGGCTTTGCCGGAGAACAGCACGCGGTGTGCTTGGAGGCGGGCCCTGGGAAGGGAGGTGGGTGGGGCTGAGGACAAATGTTGCTGCCTGTCAATTCCCAGCAGCCTTGGTTCCTTGGGGCTCTCTTCCATTCTTTCAAGGCCACCAGCTGCCCCGGAGTGGCTCTGCCTGCATTTTCTCAGGAGAGGGCGGCAGCTGCAGAAGGCTCTAGGCAAGAAATCTGAGCCCAGAAGCCAGAAGTGCCTGCCCTCGCAGAGCCCCACCCACCCCCAGCGCCTGGGCACCTGTCACGCCGCAGAGGCCTGAGGGATCCAAAGGATGCTGAGCTCCGCCCATGTGCTGGACTTGGACGGGATGAGTTACACATTCTCTCATTCTGTTCTCAAGCCGCCTGGTGAAGTAAAGACTGCTTGCCTGCTTTTCAGATTAAGAATCCTGAGTTCTAAGGTTAAGAAACCTGAGTTCTGGCAGGTCTACCTGGGTCCAAATCTCCTGCCATCCCGCCTCCCAGGCTTCCCAGGGGATGGCCCAGCTGACTGAGTTGGGGGTGGGGTCCTGCCTCCACTGCCCGTTCTGTTCTTCTTTGGTAGCCAGACTTGGCAGTGCCAGTTGGGGCCTTCCCAGTGCCCACCCAGGGCCTGGCAGGCACATGATGGGCTCTTCTCAGTGTCTGTTGGATGAATGACTCCCAGGGACCTTCCAGAATTTGAGCCCGGCCCAAACCCTGCCCTGTGCTCTGGCCCCAGCGTCCTTAGAGGGACCCACTGAGGGCCTGACATCTGGCATTGGCTTCTGAAGGCTTCCAACTATGCCACATTCAACTCATTATTGCTACTGTTTGGGGACACCCTGCAGACGACAGATGCTATTAGAAACCAAATTCCTTTTTGTCGGAAGCAAAGCTAGCAGAGCACAAAGCAGGTTAGGAGGGGAAGATTGATGAGCCAAGGCTTCTGGAAAATAAACAAAGGAAGTTTTCTTTCCCAGATAACTTGTATTTATTACACTTGCTTGATACCCCACTGGTCTCTGCTGCCCAGTGCTGAAGCAATGTGCTTGCAGGACTTGGGGGATGATTCTAGAAGCTCGGGAAGCACACAGTGGGGTGGGTTTATGGATGATTCTAGAAGCTCAGGAAGGCACACAGCGGGATGGGTTTATGACACTCAGCTCAGATCAGTGTGCCTCTGGGAAAAGGATCACTGGGGCCCAGCTCTGGGAGACTTCAGCGCTGGGCACGGGCAGTGGAGTGGGGCTGGTTTGCCACTGGAGAGCGCCCTTCCCAGGAGGGCTTGTCCCAAACCAAGACCAGGCAGGGCAAGGCCTTGAGAGATGGGGCCCAGTGGTCGGTTCTGAGGGGCAGCCCTGCAGGATCTCTTTGGCACCTTGCTTTTGCCTCCCAGTGGGCGAGGGTGGCATTTGGGAACTGGCAGCCAATGGGAACCACAGCAAGGTGAATGACGCACTGTCCTCGAAGGTCTCGGACGTTAGCAGGGCACTCATTCATCCTTCTAACACGTTTATTGAGGGGCTGCTATGCTGTATCCTGGGGATGGGGTGTCCATCAGAAAGCAAACAGTCTCTGCTCTTCCAGACGAGTCAATGGATACTGCAACCCTCCTGTCGAGGAGTAAGTGCTCTGAGAGGGGTGTGCATAGACAGGGGCCCCCGATTGTCAGGACAGCTCAGAAAAGGCTTCCCAGAGCAGAGGTCTGGGCAGACCTTGACTTCGGGAGATCACCAGGCATAGCACCCAGGAAGAGCATTCAGAGGGTGGAAAGAGCAGAGGCGAAGGCTCGGTGTGTGAAACTCCATGGAGTATCCCTAGTGTCTCGAGAACATAGCCAGTGGATTCAAGCAGAGGGACCTGGCGGGGAGTGTGAAGAGGGAGGAGGAGCCAGGAAAGTTGGGTTGGAGCTCTGGCCAGCTTGTGCAAAGCCTGGACTTTACCACTGAGACCACGTGGAGGCATCAGAAGAGAGGGACATACATCTAGCCATTGCAGCACCCTTCAGACTCCCTGCTGGTTCCCAGCTTCTGCCTGGGCCAGAGGAGCTCTGATTTCCACACCCACCTCCCTGCACAGAGGGTGTTGGCATAAGCACACCAGGCCACTCCATCCACCCACAGGAAGAGGAGGGAGCCTGACCTGCCTGCAGCCACATTAAGCAGGGGCGGGGTCACTGCCTCAAACCCTGGCCCTTCTCTCTACACCCACACACCCACACACCCACGCGCCCACACACCCACGCACCCACACACCCACACACCCACACACCCACACACCCCTGCCTGCCTCCTAGTAGAATCCTCTCTTCTGCTTCCTGTCTCTCTGGTAAGACCAGGGAAAGGACTTCTTCCTCCATGGGGCGCTGCTGCCCTCCAGGGAATCAAATTGAATTAGGATTTTCCACCCCAGTTTCACCAGGGACAGTGAGCCAGGGAGAGGGCCATTTGGCTCTGGTTTTTTCTGTTTCTCCTCTTCATCTGGGACCCTAGAGAGGCAGGTGATTTTCCCCAAACCCAACCCTAACATCTTGGCAGCCAATAATAGGACCAGCATTTAAGAACAAAGGGTCACTTGGGGGAAACTGAGGCTTCTGGTGCCACTGCAGGAGTTGCTTAAGCATGCCTAGACCACGTGGGCCTCTCAGCAAACTAAGTACCTGCTGTGTGCCAGGGACCGTTCTCAGCCCTGGGAACACAGTAGTGTGGAAGATGGCATGGTATTTCCTCTCTGGGGACTGAATATTCCACTGGGAGGAAGGAAATGACAGACACACAAAGTAATTTCAGAGAGAGGTTAAGTGTGAAGGAGTGAGACAGGGCACAGTGCCGCAGCAGGCATGAGCAGCGTAGCTGGGAGGTGACATTTCCACTGCTCCGGGAATGGGAAGAAGCAGCCAGCTCTGTGAGGAATGGAGGAAGGAGTGTCCTGGGCATGGAGCAGAGGGGAGAGCCAGTGCAAAGGCCTGGGATGGGAACGAGCTTGGAGTGTCCAGGAGAGACACAGAAGGCAGAGTGAGCTGTGGGGAGAGAAAAGCTTGGTGACAGGGACTGGGGCAGGACCTCAGTTTGTTGCAGGCCACAGCAACAAACTTCATTCGATTTATTTATTTATTGAGACAGGGTCTCGCTCTGTCACCCAAACTGGAGCCCAATGGCACCATCTCAGCTCACTGCAACCTTGAACTCCTGGGCTCAAGCCATCCTCCCACCTCAGCCTCTCAAATAGCTGGGACCACAGGTGCGAGCCACGGCACTTGGCCAAACTTCATTGTAGCTACATGTGAAACCATTATAAGGTTTTAAGCAGCAGTGACAATGTGTGACTTGTTGTTGTTGTTGTTATTGTTTTGAGAGGGAGTTTTTCTTTTGTTTGTTTGGTTTGTTGTTTTGTTTTGTTTTTGATGGAGTTTTGCTCTTGTTGCCCAGGCTGGAATGCCATGGTGCAATCTTGGCTCACGGCAACCTCTGCCTCCCAGGTTCAAGCAATTCTCCTGCGTCAACCTTCCTGGTAGCTAGGATTACAGGCATGTACCACCATGCCTGGCTAATTTTTTTTTTTTTTTTTTTTTGAGACGGAGTCTTGCTCTGTCACCCAGCTGGAGTGCAGTGGCACTTGGCTCACTGCAACCTGTGCTGCCCAGGTTCAAGTGAGTCCCCTTCCTCAGCCTCCCGAATAGCTGAGACTACAAGCAGCTGCCACCACGCCCAGCTAATTTTTTGTATTTTAGTAGAGACGTGTTTTCACCATGTTGGCCAGGATGGTCTTGATCTCCTGATTTTGTGATCTGCCTGTCTCAGCCTCCCAAAATGCCGGGATTATAGGCGTGAGCCACCACACCTGGCCACATGCCGGGCTAATTTTTTGTTATTTTTAGTAGAGATGGGGTTTCTCCATGTTGGTCAGGCTGGTCTTGATCTCTTGACCTCAGGTGATCCACCCACCTTGGCTTCCCAAAGTGCTGGGATTACAGGCGTGAGCCACTGTGCCTGGCTGGTGACTTTTTAAAAGAGCTTTCTGATAGCCCGGATGCAGAAACAACCCAAATTTCCACCAATGAATGGATAAACAATGCGGTGTATCCATTCAGTAGGTACTGGTTGGCAATAATAAATCTTGGAAACATTAGGCTGAGTGGAAGATGCCAAACACAAGGACCACAGATCGTGTGATTCATTCAGTTGAAATACCCAGAATCCTGCTGGGCGTGGTGGCTCACGCCTGTAATCCCAGCACTTTGGGAGGCCGAGGCGGGTGGATCA